AGTTTTCCAAAATAACTTCCGACCAAGTTTCATATAGCTGTGGGCAGTTGAACAGGATATCTTTTGATATACACAATTGGATGTAAGACGAGTAAACATTCACGACAAAAAATAATGGAGCTAATCAGAATTATTAAGGTAAAAGCTGGCTCCGTGGGATGTAAGAGTATTTGGACATCGGTTTGGAGTTCAAAATTGATTAAGTTTTTTTTACCCGAAAGCCACAACCTCGCAAATATCACGATTTGTTGCAAGAGAGTTTAAAAATGCGCACACGCTGCATAACAGCAGCAACTAAACAAACAAATTATGTTACTACGTCGGACATTAATGCCCAACATACAAATATATTGAAAGATCATCAGAAAGCCGCATAACTACACCAGCTGCCTGCCATTCAAACTGCCCAACAGGCAGGTGGTACCCGCGAGTCACGCGACTGAAATGATCGTCATTGATGCTAAAATGGATAATCCTGTTCTGCCTACAAGCAAAACGTACCTGCCGCTATATGTCTTCCGTGCGTGATGTCATGTTAAACGGTAACGTGCAGCAGGGTGGGCAGTTTCTGCCCCCCCCCCCCTCCCCAATGATGTCTAGAGGCTCAGTGGTGGGCGGCTTCTGCCCCCTCCCCTCCCCAATGATGTTTAGAGGGTAAGTGATGCGTTTTCGTTCCGAAAAACGTAAAAATGTAAACGCTATATGAGTGTATAATGTGGTTACTGTTTGCTTAAAAGAGATGCATCAGTAGTGTAACACTAGAGCGTAACAAGGGGGCACAGAAGCGTACCCCGGTTGTCGAGAGGGCGAGAAGACCACCTTTATATGACACGCAGTTTTGCTGAAAGCAAAATTCGTTCATTCCTTCCCTGCCTTGGAACCATCCTGCATCATGATATCAAATATTGCTTGCATATACTTCAACGACATACCTACTGCACATAAACCACCAATGAGGCTCTAATGACCAAATGAACAGCTGGTCATTTGGCGCCATGTGCGCCCGTCACGCCGCATTGTCATGCCTTGTCGCCTCTGGCGCTCAACGTCTGGTAAATGTGACAATAATACATGTAAAAGGCAATCAATAATGATATACAATAATCTGATGTGATATCTAATAGCATGTAATAATAAATCAATGATGACATATAATAATGTATGACTATATATATATATATATATATATATATATATATATATATACATATATGTATATATATTCATATATATATATATATATATAATCTGTGTAATAATGCAATCAATAATAAGGTGATCAGCATGGCCTTGAGACGGGCGTGTATACGTCTCCCGCATTCAGAAGCTCTTATACTTGGTTGCACAACCCTCCTTTTTGACTGCTCTGACATGCCCGCCGCCATAATCTTACATTCAATGGGTGCCAGTGTATACTTTACGGGCGTGACTTCTGTTCGGACTGCCAGTGACCTGACAATAGGTAGCGGACAGCCATGATGGCGCAGACATGTACACTGACGGGAGCACGACACATGTCGAGCTGCCAGTGACCTGACAATAGGTAGCGGACGGCCATGATGACGCAGACATGTACACTGACGGGAGCACGACACGTACCGAGCTGCCAGTGACCTGACAATAGGTAGCGGACGGCCATGATGACGCAGACATGTGCACTGACGGGAGCACGACACGTGTCGAGCTGCCAGTGACCTGGCAATAGGTAGCGGACGGCCATGATGACGCAGACATGTGCATTGACGGGAGCACGACACATTTCGGCAGAGTTACGTCTCGAAGTCAAGCCCTTGAACTGCCCTTGCTCACTGTTTTTCTTCGAAAAAGAAAAACGGTGGGCTTTCGTGAAGGGAACTGTCCACAGGGAAGTATATAGCCCCTAGCCGGCTAAGATGCAGTGTTCACCATCCCTCGTCACTCGACCGTGACCAACCCCTAGAGCATCCAAACTGGCTCTGAGAACCGGCCCTTAAGCGCGAGAGGAGCCGGACATTAAGTCCGCGAGCATGGCGAGGGCAGACATAGCACCCTCCCTCCGCTGAGAAGTGAGCACGGCGAGGGCAGACATAGCACCCTCCCTCTGCTGAGAAGTGAGCACGGCGAGGGCAGACATAGCACCCTCCCTCTGCTGAGAAGTGAGCACGGCGAGGGCAGACATAGCACCCTCCCTCGGAGGAAACGTGAGCACGGCGAGGGCAGACATAGCACCCTCCCTCTGCTGAGAAGTGAGCACGGCGAGGGCAGACATAGCACCCTCCCTCGGAGGAAACGTGAGCACGGCGAGGGCAGCCATAGCACCCTCCCTCTGCTGAGAAGTGAACACGGCGAGGGCAGACATAGCACCCTCCCTCAGCTGAGACCATGATGCGACTAGCGCTGGTCTCTCTGGACGTCGAGGCGGAGAACCATATCACCTGACGCTTCGAATAGCACGCTGAGCAGGCACGTGCTGACGGCCGCATCTCTGTCAATGTCACACCGAGCGGAGACCCAATGACGGTCCTCGTCACCTGCCACGCTGAGCAGGAACATGCTGACAGCCTCACTTCCTCACCTGTCACGCCGAGCAGGGACACGCTGACGGCTTCTCCTCCCCTGCCCGCCGAGCAGGGACACACTGACGGTCGCTCTTCACCTGTCACGCCGAACAGGGACATGCTCACGCCTTTTCTCCTTCCATGCTCATCGAACAGGGACCCATTGACGGCCTCTCTTCACCTGTCACGCCGAGCAGTGACATGCTGATGGCCCCCTCTCCTCAACCGTCACGCCGAGCAGGGACACACTGACGGCCTCTCTTCACCTGCCACGCCGAGCAGTGACATGCTGATGGCCTTCTCTCCTTACCTGCCACGCCGAGCAGGGACATGCCGACGGCCTTCCCTTTTTACCTGTCACGCTAAGCACGGACATGCTGGTGCTCTTCTCTTCTTACCTGTCATGCTAAGCAGGGACACGGTCGCGGCTTTCTCTCCTTACCTGTCACGCTGAGCAGGGACATGCTGATGGCTGATGCCAGGCATGCGACGCCGGCGTGCCGGCCGCGCTCTCACGCTGCCGGCTGTCACCGGGCCGAACCGTCACACTGACGGCTGTCACCGGGCCGGACCGTCACACTGACGGCTGTCACCGGGCCGAACCGTCACACTGACGGCTGTCACGCCGACGGCTGTGCACGGGCGGCCGCCGCCAGAGCCACCTGCACGCCCGAGGCGACGCGGCACGTCTGAGCTCTGCCGCCTTGCGCTCCGCTCACGCTATCGATTCCAGGCGCCGGCGCCGCCGTACAATGGTGGGGCGGCAATCGATGCGGCGCAGCCCGGCGGCGCCGGCGGCTCGGCGCGGGCGCCGCGACCTGCCCCGCGCCCAGGTGCGCCGCGAGCGCCGCAAGTCAGTCAAGGGCGGCCGCATGCGGGCCGCACGCCGCCGCGGCCTTGGCCGGCGCGGACGGGCCGCCGGCGCGCCGCCGCACGTCGAGAGCGACGCGGCGGCAGCGGGCGCGCCGGAGTCGGCCACCGAGCACGGCGAGCGACTGGGATCGAGCGAGATCGACCGAGCGCAGGCAGATAATGGAGGGTCGGACGCTGAGAGTGACCCGCCGAAGCCGCGCTCTCCGCACGCTGCCCGTGACACGGCCGGCGAGCCCCCGCCCGTGACGTCCGGCGGACGCCCGCCGCGAGACACTCGCAGACGTCACGTGACCGCTGCTGCGAGCGGACCGACGGCCGGAGGGGAACGCTCCCGCGTGGCGTGACGCGAGGCATCGATACGGCGTCCCCCTCCCCCTCCGAACGCTATCGGCAGCTCGAGCTGATGGCCTTGGCCACGAGCGGAGCGCCGCGACCGCGCCGCGTCCCTGCCAAACCGACGCCACCCCCGACCCGCAGCGCGCGAGGCGCACTTCCGCGCGGAAGGAGCAACTGGGGCGCGCGGAAGAGCGGCGCGAGTGCGCCTCGCCCATCAGGGGAGGTTGAGCGCACAGGAAGCGGCGAGCACCGGCCAGGTTATGGCAATGTCCGGCGACGAAGCCGTACAAGTCTCAACGAGGAAGACAGGATGCGGACTTCGTGAAGCACGGCTGCTTAGCACGCGCCAAAAGCCTTGCCTCCACCGACCACGAGGCGCGACGCATTGCAGAAGCAGGCATGAAAATGCGATGCAAACTTATGGATGTGGTATTTACAAGTGCCTGAAGTTGACTCATTCCAAAGTGGTGGTTATGATGCCTGTATGTCATGCATCCATCCTCTCTTGTGTCCATATCACTGCGCGACATTTGCCTCTGCCACAGTTAGCTGCACCAGTAACCAGATCGAAAAAGGGGAACCAGAGCCAGAACTTGCAACATATAGACAGTGGAGTGCTCAAAGTGCAGGCGAGTACCCGTACCACCACCATTGCCGCCGAGGTCGATCACAAGGCCCGCAGATAACACGACCCCAGATAAAAGTGCAATAACACCCCAGCACAGCAAGGTCATGTCACTTTGTAGCGTTAATAGGGAGCACGATATGCGGTGCTTGCGCCTCAGCTCGTATCTTGCGCGGACAAGCGTCCCTGTTCAGCGGCGCGGACAGAAATTTCACACCTGCGCCCATTGTCCGCAAAGGTCCGAGACAGTCCAGATGCTGGCCAGCGACCGTTCGCTGAAATCCGAGACAGTCCAGGTGCTGGTGGTCCCGCCAGCGGCCGTTCGATGAGATCCGAGACAGTCCAGGTGCTGGTGGTCCCGCCAGCGGCTGTTTGCTGAGATCCGAGACAGTCCAGATGCTGGCGGTCCCGTCAGCGGTCGCTCGCTGCATCTTCTGCAGGCGCCAGTCAACGCGCGCGGTCCCACGGCTCCGCAGCGCGGCAGGGCCTGGGAGACCACAGACGACGTCTGCCTCCGGCTGGCAGCGGCGGGCTGAGAGAGGCTGCAGGTGGCCGTCAGACGAGCCCCCGCCGTCGGCGGTGGGGTGTGAACGGGCCCGGGAGACCTCCAGACGGGGGCGAGCCTCGCCTGCAGGTGGTCACGCGGCGACAGGTCGGCCAGACGCGGCAGACTCCTCCTCCTCTGCGCCACTCGAACCGCTCCGGAGAGCTCCGGCGGCGACTTGCGGTGCCGTCGCTGGCTGTGGCGCTGGTAGGTGCTGCTTCAGGGAGCTCTAAACCGTGCTGCTTTTGCTTTCGCTCTCCTCGTCGCCTTCGGCTTATGTATCGCCAGCTTTTACTGTTTACCGTCTTATAGTTTCAGCTTGAATTGCCCTGCTTGGACGGTTTTCGTTGCTGGATTCGCTCCAACCAACCATCATTTTTTTCAATCAAATGCGTGGAAAGTTATGTGGTTTCTTCTTATCCACATTACATCATTTTTTCATGCCAGATATCCTCCAGACATCCAGATATTATTTCGCTATATTCTTACCTAAAATGGGCCGCATGAGAGAACAGTGGAATTTCCAAATACGGAAGTATATGCGGTGTTACTTTTAAGCGTGTCAAGGATAAAGGCGATGCTTCTACAGTGAGATTGGTTAAAGACAACTGTGTCTAGTTGCATGGCTACTGTTGTTCTGCCAAGGCTGGAAAAAGTCAATTTATTCAAACAGAATCAGTGCTCATCCTGGAAATCAAATTTAGAAGCCTTTCCGGTAGGCTCAAACACTTTAATTTACACCAGCTCTATTCACTTCAGCTACCTAAACGTACATGAACTATATAAATATCAGCTGGGTCTCACGTGGACACGATTTTCAGTATTAAAATGTTTGTGAAAGGACTGCATGCCAGATTTTTTGTAGTCCTATAGCAGGCGCATTCCAACCGAAATGCCAATTGGCTTTTGCCAAAATGCCAAAATGCTATAACTTGCATTGTGCCTTACGACAACGGTAGCGATTGAACAATGCACTGGCTAAACACACAAAAATAGTGCTGAGATTGTTCTCTATTTTCTAGGCTGACCACAATGAACCACCTTCAGCTGAGCACGGCGTCTGTTCTGCTGGCGGGCCTTCTCATCGGCTGTGCAGGTGAGACACGAGTGAGACGAGTGAGACACAACACAAGACTGATGGATAACGCTTTTCTAGCGCAAAAAATCTGAGATCTCTTTTCGCCTCCGAAATTCATGGACACACGAACGCACGCACGCACGCACGCAGGCACATACACACACACACGCACGCACTCAGGCACGCACACGCGCACGCACAATATGCGGCCACGTACCTGCCGCTATGCAGTGTTTCTCAGCCATGGCGCCTGACTGAGTTGACTGATGACGCCGAAATTTGCAGCAGTTGGATTTCGAATAGCGCTTTTCCGCGTATAATGCGCACAGTTATGCGCGGTTTTGGTATGCATTGCTACGCGTGATTGGGGTACGCCAGCCGCGCGGGGAATTCGCCCTGTGCGCCATCACCTGGTGACCTTTCGTGGTTCCGGAGTGCTCCAGTACGGACGCATCTGCCCGGGGCCGGCGCCCGAGACGGGCGTGCGTTTAGCGGCAACGTAGGCACCCCGAAACTGCACGCCGTCCCATTGATACGCGGCCGTGGTTGGACGGATGCGAGCCTGGCCCGGAGCGCCGCCGGAGAACGGGTGTATATGCGTGAAGCGGTTGGCGAACGGTGGTGAACTACCAGTGAGCGGTCGACATTGAGCGCGGGCAGTGCTACTCCGAGAGCGGTTGTAGTATATTGCGGTGCGGGGAGCAGCAGTGTCGTCCGGATACGGCGCATTCCTGACGTGCCAAGTCTGAGCGCAGTGTACATCTTCGACAGCGATACAGATCACAAAAGTAAGGAAACCAAAGTTTGCAGCAATAATACTACAAACAGTCATTTTGGTATCTGTTGAGGCCTTGGCGTGCTTCAAATCTGTTAACAGTTTGCCTGACGTGTTCTTTTCCTCAAAATATCGTCCTTGCTATCACGGTTAACAAGGGGATAACTTCGGATAAGCTTGTTAAGTGATCTTTAGCAGCAAGCAACAAAATGATCTGTGGCTTGAAGTGAAAAAATGTGCTGCGGTCAATTTCCAAATGGATACAAATCACACGTGAGGGAGCTGACGTGGCATCAACTTGCAGATTTACGCCGCCGCCGAACGGCATTAAAAACCAACCGACATCAGAAAAACTAATGCGTTATTCTAAGCAGTTTTCTGACATGTCCTGACCGCACTTTGCCCCATCAGTGAGCATCACAAACCGTGCCAAGCTGCAGCTATTTCGTGCATTTCGACTCTGTATCCTACAGTACCATAAGGTGCGATTTACGTTTTGGGCGTCAAGCTATCACACCAGCCAGTGCAGTGAGCATGACTAGTCTATACAACGCAGATCTGCATCGTGCTAACCAGCCGGTGCATTTAGCGGGGAGCAGTGTCTTGGCCGAAGAAGACATTTTTTATGGTGTGTAAGGTGACCTTTAACAGTTTGCATTGCACAATACTGGCGACAATTTAACCTACATTGAGACATCCGATAACATCGCTGTGCGTCGTGACCTCTTCGCAGGCAGAGTGCCAGGGAATCAGCATAAGGTGGTCTGCTATTTTCAAAGCTGGGCCGTCTACAGGCCCGGCAAAGGCATATTTGATGTGGAAAATATCGACCCTCACCTGTGCACCCACTTAATCTACGCCTTCGCCGGCGTCAACGACAGCAACCACAAAATCATGTCTTTGGATCCGGAGAATGACTTCAGCGATGACGGTGGAAAAGGTCAGTGAGATAATGTCAGCATCGGTCACAGGGCTCAGTAACGTACGATGTGGTCACATGCCTCACCTGCTCTAACCCGACTGCATCCCAGTGGGTCTGATACTGTTTTACGTGTGCGGACGTATGTGCGCTTTTGGATGCACGTATGTGTGTGTGTCGGGGGGGGGAGGGTTATGGGTGTGGGTGGGTAGATAGATGATGCACTGATGTGTTCATGGTCCCGTGTCGTACCTAGAAGCGTGCTGCGGGCAAGCGTTTGTGCACCCTCCCAAGTGTGTTTACATTTGCATTTATACTTACCATTGAGGTATTATTCACAATACCATGGTTAGTACACCCAGCGTCAAAATATTCGTGGCTTAAGGTAAAGTTATACTCGTTACAAAGTCACGCGCTCTTACACGGTGCACATTGCACATGTCCAGTACCGCCAATACAGGAAACATGCGCGTTGACCGGGCTTGAAGTGCAAACCAGCATTCGCCTTCACAATGTGAGCGCGAAGGGCTCCTGCTCCAGTGTCATGCGCTCTGGAGTGCGCTGTTGTGCAAACAAAGGCGCTATCGAGCAGAGGAGTCGCATCTCAGCTTAAGTTGGTAACCATGAACTGTGCAACATACTATCCTGTCTTATTTTATAACGTTTGCGCTGTGCCTGTCGCGTTATATCGTGTTTCCAGTGCGCTACAACGTGGCATTTTCGCAGGAGCGTATGTCCGTTTCACAAACCTGAAGAAGATAAATCCGGACGTGAAGACCCTATTAGCCGTCGGAGGATGGAACGAAGGATCCAAGAAGTTTTCGCATGTGAGTGCTGAAGCGTTTTCATTCAAAAGTACTTCATCTTGTAGGACACCAATTGCCAAACACATTACGTCGATCATTATGCTTGACTAGCTTTGGAGTACTCATTTTCATTGTTTTCAATATCGGTGTACAGTTTGAACGTCCTTCGCTATCATTGCCAAGACCACACGCAACGACATAATGTCGTTTTAGCTTGAGGGCTTGCCCTGGACAAACTTGTTTCTTCGGGTTGACAAATGTGTGTTTGGGTTGAATGCGCGGAACATTGTGCCACTCTTTTCTCGCCTATAATATTAATAATTTTTGCTGGGACCTTTATTTCGTGCTGCATTATTTCTGTCAAGTCTTACCCTTAACACGATCCCAGTAAGAGTCCAGTGCCACCGTAGTGGCGCTTGCATTGTGACGACTTCTCAAGTCGTGGCGTTATGGGTGATAACTGAGCGCAAAAGTGGTAATCACTTTTGCTTGTTCTAGGAAAAACAGCATTTCAGTACTTGCACCGTAGGCCCGGTCCAGTCCGTGCTATTTACATGTGATTGTTTTTTTCAGATGGCGTCCAGTGCGGGAAACCGTAAGGCATTTATTGACAGTGTGATGGAGTACATGGACAAGTTCAATTTTGACGGACTTGACATCGACTGGGAATACCCCGGACAGAGGGGAGGCTCACACAACGATAAGGTAATAAGGCAGTGCAATACTAGCATTGGAAGGATACCTTTTTACCTGTTGGAACGCACATAGGCATATAGGTATGCTATATGTATATTCGCTTATGCAAAGCCCAAGGCCACAATTTGCGTCGGCCACTTTCTTAGTCGCAGCCAGTGGCTATTCGGTTGCCAAGCAGTATCACCGATTGCGAATGCTATGACATCTTCGCTCTATCTTACCACCATCTCCCTCCCATCTTGCAAACTTTGCAGTGAATACATATTTGAGGCTACTTTCGGTAACCACAGCGTGTTTGCAGCAAAATGCTCTACGCGAGTGACTGCGAAAGCGAATGCCTTTGCTTTTTCTCCCAGAACCTGTTGTGGAGCAAACTCCGCGCATTGTGCGGCGCGTCGTGTTAGCCCTCCACTTCGATTCCTGTGGAGCACAGTTGAAAGAAAGATGCTTTGCCCGCAGCTATGTGTTGTGTAGTAGTAGTTGTGGAGGGTGCCTAATATTTGCAGATGTACGTATGTAGCAGAAGTATGCAATATAGTGCATGCACAGCTGCATCGGGGTTTTTGATCGTAGACAGGCATATTTGTCTGACAAAATGAATTGCTGCATGACAACACAGGCCAATTACGGACTGCTGCTGAAGGAACTGAGAGAAGTTTTCGATCCGAAAGGATACCTCATCACTGCGGCCGTTCCGGCGGGAAAAGACAGCATTCATAGGAGCTACGATATCCCAACGTTACAAAAGTGAGAAAACACACGCCATGCAGGACTGGTAGACGCCACACTCCCCTTTTTTGATGCCGCTGTTAGATGCTCATTTGATGATTTGCCTTGACTTGTAAAAACTAACAGGAGTTGGGCGATTCATACGGAAAAATACCATATTATATTCGTATGGCTGTTGGTAACCGATTGTTCTGTACCATGACGGGAGGTAAAAAAATGTGATCAAAATTTTCCATCTAAGACTGACAAATGGCTGATCTTTAGGTCAGCAAGCCGCAGTACAAAACGTCTTAAAAATGAATCATTTTGTCATGTTCAGCTCAGTGTGTTCTGATCAGTTACGCTGGTTTCGAGAACAGATCATATTAGTTTATGCAATGACAGTTCAGGTGTCTAGTGGACTTATGTTGAAACCAATAGCCTGTTCGTTATAAAAACATACCTCATCTTGGGGATGTCATGGGGTTAAAGAGCAGCTTTTTAGCATGCCTAACTGTTTGTAAGATTTCAAAATACTTGTATTTTGATCAAGACTTTAGCTCATGCATGCAGTGACAACAAGTAAAATTTATATGTTTGTCGATACATGCAATACGCAAGGTGGATGACACGAATTCTCACCACCGGGGGAAACCAGGGTCAGTGACATTAGCCCGTTGGGAGGGCTAATGTCACTGTCATGTCACATGGGAGGGCTAATGTCAAATGTCAATGTCACACTTGAACGAGGACAGCCCGATGCCGCGATCCCAATGGCAGCGCCCCAGGCCAGTCGGCCATTTACGCTTTGCCCTCAAAGCAAAACGTTATAGACTATCATTCGATTGACACACTTTTGCAAAACCGTCGTCAAACAACACATAGGGGTGATCGGCTGCAGTGATTTCTGGCACCGAATACACCTTGCATGTCTTACCTTCACCGTCTTGCACCGTTTGCAGATATCTCGACTTGATCAACATTATGGCGTACGACTACCACGGTACCTGGGACCCCTTCACGGGCCATGTGGCTCCCCTGTATGCGTCCCACCTGGACATACAGCACGGCAATGGCTTTCAGTTCTTCAATGTGGTGAGCAGCTGGCGTCGTGTACTCGGCTGAATAACGCATGGGCCGCGTCCCAATGCACCAAACAGCTCAATCAGACCTGATAGTAGTAGTCGTAGTGGTATACTGTCCTCCAGCAATGATTGCTTCAATCGCAAACATTGAGCCCATCTTCCACTGACAAAGACTGGAAGCCATGCTAGCCAGCAAGGCTGGAGCAGGCTCAGAAGTGCACAATGACTTTCGCGATAGCCTGCACATGCCATTTCGATGCATGTCTCAGTGTGGCGTCTGACCATTACAGAACTACACTGTCCACTACTATTTGGACGGCGGCGCCGACCCCTCCAAGGTTGTCGTGGGCATTCCCTTCTACGGGAACGGCTTCAAGCTACGAAGCCCTAGTCAGCACGGCCTGTACGCGCCCATCAGCGGCCCTATGCCCGGTTGTCCGTACACGGAGGAAGACGGTGACTGCGGCTATTACGAGGTAGGACTGCACCCATGCGTGGCCGATACAGCGCCCCTCCCCCGCCCACCGGGCGCAGCAGGGAATCTTGCCCACTGACCTGTGTTTGTGCTCATAGTGGGAACCAGATCATGTACCTGGTGGGGGAAACAGTGCGCTGGTGATATCAGCCGTCCTTAACGCAGCGGGCTTTATTCGATGAACGTTTTCCTGCTTAAACTAGCAGATGCCCTGTTTCGGGGGTGATGTGGCCGCCACCCGCGGAAAACGGGCGTCTACTTTTGTCCTGGATCTTCTCAAGGCTGAACCCGCAGCGCGTGCAAAGTTCGCCGCCATCTTTGAAACCGTTTGGCTGAAAGTAGGACAGACAGATAGGTAGGAGACAGGTAGATAGAAATGAAGAGGTAGAAAAGCGGTACGCTCGAAATTCGTTGTTAGTTTTGTTTATTCCTTTATGGTCGTCAAGGTATAGCAAAAACCGCATTTTTAGTTTCCAGAGTCAAAAGCTACACAGCCAGCTTGCTTCATAAGACGTCTCTCTTTTTCAGAAGATTTCCCTCTGCGCTGCATTTCTTATTGGTTCTGACATAACACGGGCGGAGAGGAAAGCGAGAATCTTCTAGCAGTCATTTGGTGGTTTCAGCGTGTTAACTGATGACATTGCGGTCGAGAACTGAACGCAAAAATGCAGCAATGCACTCACTTTAGCTTTGTCGAGTTCGAAAACTATTTTTGAGGCCACAAATTGTTTTCGTTTCGATGAAAAAAAACATGAAACCCTGTCTTTGCTACAAGGCGTCGTAAGACTGGGTTAGTTTTACCCCACTGGCGACGGGCAACGACGGTGGTAATCGTGCTCAGGACGGAAGGAATGCTATAGTCGATCATTCGACATGACACTTGGCGAAGAGATCGGTTTATTAATAATCGTAGTACTCTGTGTGTATACACCGGCTATCCGTCCATGACAAGTGCGTTTCGGCAAACACGGGTGCGAGCTGTTTCGTCGTCGGTGTCGTCATCGCACGACGTCACAGTCGCCATGCATCGCAACTCACTCTAGTGGTGTGTATCAAATGATCCATCCCTTTCTGGATTAAAAACCTACATGTTATGTAGTCCGCTTTATGCGTGTTTCAAGAAGTTACAGATATGTTGAGAGAACATCTGCTGTCTTAGACGTTTGCATATGTCATGCCCGTAAAACATGCTTATCACTACCGGCCGTCTTACTCCCCCCATCTAAATTTGCAGTGAACCTCGTGGAGTGGAGCTGAACCTTTATCTCAGGATGGATGTTCTCTTTCTCAGTCCGGCTGACTCCGCCCTTCCATCTCAAATGGCCTGGATCTAAATCCAACAAGACCAGTCTGACGTTCAGACCGTGCCGCCTTTTTGGCATACACAGGACAGTTACATACTGGGGCATTGCCTATCCAAGGCCTCGTTGGATCTCATTGGATCGCTCCTCCCTGAGCCAGCTAATGACGTAGTGCGGGGCGTTCAATGCACCCTCCTTCGGTGTTTTTGCTATAAATCTGCTAAAAGGTCATTAAGGGCTTAGCGAGTTTCCTAACGCCGACGACTGCTCAAGATATGATGAGTCAAAAACTTGGAGCTAAAATCATGCTAAGTCACATCGAAATGACGCGAAGTCGACGGGCAACATATAATTCCTTGCTTTTGAGCCGGTTTGGGGATTATGCACGCTATCTCAGGTCTGTAGCTTGCGTATAGTTTATAATTTTGTCATGTCATACGCTTAGGTGGAGGGTCGGATTGACCCACTCCCCCCTAAGGTTTTCCCAAAATAGTTTCAGAACAGCGCGGCATAGCCACGCCACATTTTGCATAGCTATAGATGATTGAGTAGCGGATTGTCTGACAACAACAATTTAGATGTACCTTGTAAGGTCGCTGACCTAGGTCAGTCAGACCATGGTTTCAGCAAAGGCAATTTCTAAGGAATCGTTCAATCTGATCCAACAACGGAGTGTTAGACGAAACCATGCATCTCTCAGATACTTTCTTAGGCAACAAAACAATTGAATAAACACATTTCATTGACCTAGGGTCAGGTGTGGAGGCCAGATCATCATCAAAAGCAACCTGTTTTATCACTCTAGGGCTTGCTGTATGGAGTAGTTTTGATGCTCACTTCGAATTCACTGATAAAAGAAACCGCATTATACACTTTATATCAGCTTCTTAAAAGGTCAGAATGGCTCACTGACCTAGAATGACCCAGGTCAAGATCTAATTTTAAGGAACATACTGATTGGCATAATCTTTGTCGCTTATCCAAATGCAAAACTCAAAACAGTCTTGTATGATTTTGGTCACCATGACCTTCGAAAGGTCATACAAGGCCACTGACCTTATATGAGCATGTGGCATTTACTTATAACAGTTATCTAGGCTCCAAGTGCCCTTTGGAGACCAACCTGGACATTAGGCTTGTTTGACCTTATTTGACCCGAAGGCCACAACCAGGTATCTCAAACTTTGACCTAAGTGAGTTTACGTACAGGCCAACACACTCCGCAAATTTGGTGTCTCTAGCCCTCTTAGTTCCTGAGATCTCAGGGAGGGTCAAATTGACTTCCCCTCCCGAGCGAAGGGTATCCAACCGACCACCCGGACATGTTATGTTAAATGCGCATGTTAAAAGGCTTGGTTGGTCCTACGTCACGTTACATTGGCATTTCAAGCTTATATCTGTGCAAAAATTGCTTGGCGTAGTTAACTGGCCCCTCTTGATTCTCTATTCTCGTTGTGTTTCTTTCTCTAAGCCTGTATTGGTATTCATCTAGTTGATTAGCTCCAATTCAAATGCCGAAGCCCCAGCACGTCGCATCAAGCCCCAGGTCATGCTAAGTTTAATCAAAATGACGTCACAATCAATTTCAGAACACGTTTCATGCCGATGCAAGGTGATGCAGGGTCACAAATTTCCGATAGCTTGCGCTGCGATAGCAGCTGGATATCCACTACCTTTTAATGGTCAGTGCAATAGTCAAGTGCATGCAACCGTGTTCGAACTCAGTGACATGCAAATCCTTCAAAATGGTCCGGCTGGAGACAGTATTTGTTTTATAAACACGCTTAACTGCTCATCTAGGATGTAGTAAACAGCTTTACCTTCAACGCTAGCTCTATGCAGCCTTTTTATTGCGATCAGTTGGAACAAGTTAGTTCATGCAATTTTAGATAATTAGTTACCTTTGTCCACACTTGCGACTACATCAATGATCTGGAAGTCAACATATTAGCATATGCTACGATCGCACGATCCGAGGCGAGTTTTGCTGCTTTGAATTATCGCAAACATATTAATCCGATCGTCGGATGAATCATCGCTCTTCGCTTACAATCAATGCAGGGTGGCAAACGCGCCAGTAAACCCTAAATGAAATAGTTCACACAAGGTTGACTGGTACCGAGCTACTGCGTCACTTTGCGGACTTAATGGATCACTACACCGGAGCGCCGCTTTCGTCGCCAGCTGTGCGAGCTATACTTCACCAAGCCCGGCTGGACGCACGTACACGATGACGAGCAGAAGACCATCTACAGCTACACAGACGAGGTCTGGATCGGCTATGACGACCTCGCCGCTATCAAGGTCAAGGTCAGTATCAGGTCAGCGCGTGGTGAACATGTCTGTCGTTCCGAGTCGTCTTCTCAGTCATGTGTCAACTGCATTCGATACGCCGAATCCAGTGCTGCAAACTAGCTGCTAGTCGGAACATGTCACGATGTAGCGAGTGACGCCGCCATGACAATAGCCCGAGGCGTGGCGATAGACAGATCGCGACAATAGTTCCGCCGTGGCAATGACCTGGCTTGCAATAGTCAATATACTCCGGTCTGACCAATCTTGTTGAAGGTCCATTAGTACCGGATAGGATTCTGCCCATTCTGTCTTGTTCGGGCAAAATGGCCTCCGCACATTTGGATGCTGGCACAAAAACGTCCGCGATGAGTGCGAAAGGCTGGTTGTAACTGGGCATGATGCTAAAAGGCATCTGTGCCATCAAAAAGCTTACCACGTGCATCAGCGGGGTTATCATGCCGCGGAACACAAGGTTATGTGGGATTTTTTAACACAAAAAAGCTTCAGAAATCAAAGAGGAATCCTCAGACATTTGGCAAACATTTCAGAACGCTGTATTTGCAATCTAGACCGTATGCGCCTCATGCGTATCTGTAGACGTGTGTATGCGTAGAATATTGACCAAACATGGCTATGCTTTCCCTCGTAAGTGGTTGGGCAGTGAAGTGGCCACGTTGGTTTGCGTCGGACCGGAGGAAACATCTGAACTACGTTAAACACCTTTTTACTTTAAGACCTAAGCGCACGCAGACCAGGATCACAGACAGACTGATTTATAACGGAGCGAAACGTAACATGACATTGCGTGCGAGGCGTGACATTATGTGGCGTAGCTATTCCGGACGACGAACCGATGGCGACAATTTCGGCCCAGAGCAAAAGCTTCGTCGTTGACATTAGATATACCCACCGGTTTATGGAGCCTTGCGCCAGCCAAGCCAATAAAGTATGATATGTGAAGCGTGCCATAATAGAAGGCAATTTCCGGAACATCGATACGAAGGACAAATGCTGACATGGGTGGTAGATATGGCATTGCGAAAACAGCCCATGAGTACCTTTCAGAAAACAATGCAGCCTCAATCAAGCGGGTTAGACGGCGCACAATTTCAGCCCACCTGGAAGTCGTCCCTCGTGACCGGGTCCCAGTCTTAATATCCGGCTCTTCCACGAGCCTGTGCGCGGCCACCCAACCAATACGTGACTGGAGTTGTCGACTGGCCGGCGGGGTGATGTGGGCTGGCGTCAGCCTGCCGGCGAGTGACCGGGCGTGGGTGGTCTGCTGTCGTCAGTCGGAGTTTATCCGGCGCACCGGCCTGGCCGGCGCCATGGTGTGGGCGATAGACCTGGACGACTCGCGCGGCGTCTGCAACCTCGGCTCCAAGTTCGCCCTGCTGACGGAGCTGTGGCACCAGATGAACGGCGAGCTGCCCTCTACCACCCCCGGGCCGACAACCACGCCCGGTCCGACCACCACCCCTGGCCCGACCGTGAGTGGTGCCACTTGACTGCGGATGAGGCAGTGTGCGGCAGTGAACATCGCTCAGAGAAGCGTGGGTGGTGGCCCCGCAGACAGCGGATCGGACGGTGGCTATTTTCGCAGCCGGTGAAGCAGAGCGTGAGGAGTCATGCAGTGGGTGACTTGGAGCGTGATTACCCACTGGTGGAGCGTAGTCTCACAGACATCTGGATGGACTGTCAACTTAAGGGGGGATCAGAAAGAGCTTACAGGACTGCAAGCTTCACAAGGCACGCTTACTGACTCAGAAATGCCTAAATATTTGTCTTTTGTTACATTGAAAACAGTCAGTATCGTTGACCGGTGTGTGATGTTTCACGTTGTTTGCAAACGTACATTGCAATTACCGGCAGAATGCAAGTCATGTGTTTATGTTGATGCTTATCGTTTTGCCGGTCTCCTCAGACGACGCCTGCCCCGCCGGACCACGTGTGCAAAAAGCCGGGTCTCAACCCTGACCCGGACAAGATGTGCTCCCCGATATTCTACGAGTGCGTCAAAGACGGGGACACGTGGGAAGCCACTCAGGTGCGTTCCAGCACACAAAGAGAGAGCGTACCTCGCACCACTGAGTTGACAACGACGCCACAGCTAGCAGCACCAATGCTCATTTCAGACTTGCTCATGCGTCAGTGTTTATCCTGTTATTGATGGATAGATGTCGAGTTGTATAAAAACCAAACTTTTCAAACTAACAAATGAAGGTATGATAGCATTCCGCCTCCAATCACGTTTTACATTATGTGTTTCAGTTCCTCTGTGGAGATGGAGCCATTTTTGACCGGGTCAAGCTCGTCTGTGTGTGGCCAGGAGACTCAGACGAGTGCAAAAACACCCCAGCGCCACCTGCTCAGTAGAGACCACAGTGACATCTATGAGCCTCTAAACTTCAATGATTCTTCCAATATCACGCACCTACGAAGCCTTTGAGTTGCATGGTGTGCCGCGCTGCCCTGTCCGCAGCGAATTTTTGTTTTCCAGGATCGAACCTTTCTTTTTATTGGTACATCTGCTATGATAGCCCGGAAGTCTTGTGACATGCGAGAATCATGTTGCAACGTGGCTTCTACTGTAAAGCCATCATGCGCCAATCGTAATTTTTAGTACGTTTTGGCAATACAAAATAATGTTTTACATTTGTGTATCTTAAACCTGCACGCGCAGTGCACCTTACACACAGTGCGACATATTCCAAAATGCAAATATTCCGAGCAAGCGTGGTTTGTTACCTCGACACTCTGATAGCTTAAACCATACATGAGAGCTTCTTACCCCTTGTTCACCTCTTACCTTAAAACGTAGCTCGATCCTATCAACGATTCACATCTCAGCTAGTAATTCAAATGATAACACCACTGAAAAGGCACAATCTCCCGTTAGAGTGCCAGTCACGAACCAAAGGATGCAAGCAGGTACCAAAAGCGGGCATGTATTCCGTGAGCTAACCAATGCACCTACCTAACCAACAAATGTAAGCCCAGAGAGGGTCTGGCGACACAGCGGTTGCAGCACACCCTGTATCGACGCGGCCCGCCCGGGGTGCACATAGGTGAGCAGGTCTTCGGCAGCGGAGTCACTGCTGACGCCAGACGCACACAAATCAAGCGTGTGGACAAGATTGGAGTGCTCCAAGGACGCGGTGCGCAGAGGTTCACGTCTGGCACGCCACTCGTTCAGCGGCAGTGGGTTACGGGAACAAAGGCCCCGAAAAAACGCGTCCCCGGACGTGCCAACGCCTTCCTCACACGGAAAGGGAGGCATCTACATTCACCCGCAGGTTACGCCGTGCCGCACCCGCAGTTCATGAGCTTGGTTGGTCGAAAAAATATGTAATGCAGCGATTATCGGGAACTTTGCGAGATCACAAAGTGCATGGATTTTGTGGTGCTTGAAGATTGGTGACGAGCTATTTGGTGGATATCTATTTTTGATTAACTTAAGCGTCTTTTTAAACAGAATTACTAATACGTTTTATCTGAAATAATAATGAACACTCCAGACAAGACCACGATAATGGACATATGATAGAACTACGAAATTGTACGACACATGTGTCAACAAGATATCTGGCTCTTGTGATGATGCCAATACTTCTATTGACTGTGCAAGATGTTTGTGAGGATGACCAATATATGTTGATACTATTTGCTGTAAATGTTGAGGTGTAAGTTGATGGTCAGACCAAGGCACTTGGTGGTGTGATTACCAATTTTGGCAGTTGGTTCAAAGTGGGATAAGACTGTACTCCAAGATTATGGTGGCGCCGGATACTTATGCCAGCACCCAAGCCGCGCGCCAGATTCTGTGCCTGTAACTATAGACTTTCCCAACCAGGGGATGCCCCAGCTTAAGCTATACAAGCGCCTGACAGGTATACCAGGTATCGGTGTCCACCGGCACCCACACGGCACCCCAAAGAATGACGAACCTCGTCGGTGACCGTGTTCACAGCCTTGAAAGGTCCCCGCTCCCGCCTTATGGACCGCAGCCTCAGATGGTGCGCAGACCTCGGGGTGCGGCGCGTGACGCGCACCATGTGGTGCCGATCGTCCCAAGACCGGCACCCCGCACCAGCCGGTGGAGCTTTGGTGAAGACTGGCCCGGCCGGTTTCGCCAACGGCATGTCCGAAAACTTGTGCCCACGAACAGGTGGACTTACAAACACTCGAGTATAAATTTTCGCTGTTGAGCGCCGTTTTCAAAATTTGGTGCACCAAATAGCGAGCGAGCAAAGCATACCCTTACCCACTTTGGAACTTGAATTAGAGGCAGACCAAGGCATTTGAGCGTTGTTTTAGGGCACAAATCAGAACCCATGATGGTACGAGGAAAGGGAGCAAGAATGGCGTCTAAGCAGTTTGGTAGTCTTTTCGCCAGACATTGTTATATCGAGGTCCCGAAACGCAAGGGTATCAATACATTCATGCTGCAATCATAATGTTGATTGGAGTTTGCATGACTGCGCTATTCATCTGACAGCGAAACGTTTTGAAACCTGTGTCATTCAAAGTTCGCCACCTGTGCCTGTTGTCAACGAGTTTTAACGCAACGATACACAGGCGCAATATGCTCGTGCTGCGCGCATGCATTCGAAACGATAACTGCTGTAGCGCTAATCCGCTGGGATCTCGACTCTTATCACTATATCGTCATAACTATTTTAACCATGATCCGATAGGATATCAGCTCTTGTGACTACATTCACTGCGGTGTTCTGCTTGACTGCTATACCTACCACAACCACAACGCCGACAATGGCAACGCTTATCATCGTATCGTCATAGCCACCAAAACCGTAAGCTGATGGGCTAGCGACTCTGTTCTATCCCAGGTAGCCTGCACCCAGCGCGGGTCATCGGAAGTAGAGCAGCACCCAGCGCGGGTCATCGGAAGTAGAGCAGCACCCAGTGCGGGTCATCGGGAATAGAGCAGCACCCAGTGCGGGTCATCGGGAAGAGAGCAGCACCCAGTGCGGGTCATCGGGAGTGGAGCAGTACCCAGCGCAGGTCATCGGGAGCAGAGCAGTACCCAGCGCGGGTCACCGGGAGTAGAGCAGTACCCAGCGCGGGTCATCGGGAGTAGAGCAGTACCCACCGCAGGCACCCTCACCGTGAGCTTTCCGATGCCTCAAAAACATGTGTACGCTCACACGGCAGCCGCGAACATTAGAAGGCGCAGCAAATGTTGCAGCTTATTCAGTAATCGGCGGAGCCCCAGCCAGTGCGTAAGGACAGGTAGTCAGTGCACACATTTGTTATCCACGACAAGGGCTTTACTCCAACAAACCACGCATATTTCGCTGCGATCTGTTGATTTTATCATGACAATTTGATATTTAAACTTTCTGAGACCTCGTGAACATGCATGAATAGGGAAAATGTCACATCGGCTTGACAGGCCCGCCTATGGCAAAAAGAGGGGTACCCGACATGAGCGGGTGCGCCACGGATCACACAGGGCAGCTGTCGGCATCACGAGGTGCACCAAATTTGGCGTCTCCATCTCATTCTATCATCAACATCTTTCGTCCATTCCTTGAAAGGTGCGTGTGCTGCTGCCGGAGCTGCTGCTGGCTGTACACAGACCAAATGTGGTCATTGCTGGGGTTGACATGCTCTTAGATTTGCCATACAGAATGCGAAGGTTTCAGTTCACTGCGTTTCTGACCCAGTCAGCCAACTGCTGAGGAGGCGAGTCCGCCCGCGACCAATCACTGGCCTCAACCCTAACCAGGCTGGGCCACGTCACGCATGTCAATCAGATCCTAAGCAGCCAGTGCGCCACACCCCCTCATATCCTAAGGGACCGGTGTGCACAATCCTATCCTAAGGGACCAGTGTGCCACGCTTCAGATGTGGACCGCCTCCCGCTCAGGGGAAGGATATGTGAGTGCAACTCACTTGCACGTGCGGAGCCAGAGCACTGGCACTGGACACCGGATAACAGGGGCTGGGATAGGCCGACTTGCCGATAGGCTATACTGTAACATCAGGAGCTCGACCCGTGTGAGCCAAAGTGCAGACTATATTCCACCCATGTAATGAGGCCCCAGCCTAGACTCCTGGTCCTAGCACTAATCCCGACGAGAGCGTCGGGCCCACCTTGCCGCCGGCACCGCTGAAGGATGATGAGCCTGAGCCTCAGCGGTGGCCAAAGTCGCGCAGGCGAAACGGCCCGCGCTCCGCCATATGACCTGCAGCCTCGACAACAAAGCCTCTGCAGACCTGGGGGCGCCGCACGTGACGCGCACCATGCGGTGCCGATCGCCCCGAGACCGGCACCACGCACCAGCCGGTGGAGTTTTGGTGAAGACTGGCCCGGTCGGTTTCGCCGACGGCATGCCCGAAAACTTGTGCCCACAGATAGACGGGTAGCCGGATTTCCACTTTTCCGGGCAATCTCAAGGCGTGAAGCCTATGTTGCCTTCAATGGGCACGGACAGGTCAGTGATGAAGCATCGTCTCTCGTCGTGTCTCTTCTGCAGACCGAGCGACTGCACATCAGCATAAGGTGGTCTGCTATTTCGAAAGCTGGGCCTTCAACAGGCACGGCAATGGCAAGTTCGATGTGGAGGACATCGACCCCAGCCTTTGCACCCACTTGATCTACGCCTTCGCCGGCGTCAACGATACCAACCACAACATCATGTCTCTGAATCCAAAGAATGACTTCAGCGACGGTGGCGGAAGAGGTCAGTAAGATAATGCCTGTAAGTTGCTAAGCGCATTTGCGAGGTATTAGGTACTGTCTTATCTATAAGATAATGTCTGTCTCAGTCCCTTGGCTCAATAGCGCCCTGTGTGGTGATGTGCCTGTTCGAAAATGTGCTCATTGCATGCATTTTTTTTGTGAGCACGATACGATGGTAGCAATTAGCGACGGCACGGCGTGTACTGTCTTCACAGGGGCGTACACCCGTTTTACAAACCTGAAGCAGCTCAATCCGGATCTGAAAACTCTGCTGGCTGTCGGAGGATACCATGAAGGCTCCAAAAAGTTTTCACATGTGAGCGCCCTAAATGTCTGCATTCACAACGCACATCTTATAGTGAAAAAAGAAAGGCATCTGCTGAGTGTTCAACCTGAAACAGACAGCATAACAGTCCCTTCTATGGTCTATTTTTTGTTCCGATAATCTATTTGTTACGCTTTGCAGTCGCTACCAGAATACAATACAACCAACAGCACTGTTCTAATTTAAGCCGGCTCAACCTTCCCAAAAATGATGCTCGAGTAAAATGCATACAGCTATACTAAGCTGTCGTCATTAACATGCTATGTTTCTTTTCGCCGTGAGTTTACTTGTATGATGTAATAATTCCGTAAAGTTTTTGCCCCAAAACAAAGCCAACGTGAGGCGGGTACTATTTGGCGGCACGTAAACTACAACGGCATCGTATTCCATATCATGATGTCCTGGGAGCAGTGGGGCAAACGTGGCAATTTCCAAGTGTTCGCATTTCGTTGGGGTGAAATATAACTCCTACTCGTTTTAGTACAAATCTCGATTCCTTTGATGCTCCTCTGATGTCGTTGTCGTTTCAGATGGCATCCAGTGCCGAAAACCGCAAGGCATTTATCGACAGCGTCATGGAGTACATGGACAAGTTCAATTTTGACGGACTTGACATCGACTGGGAATACCCTGGACAAAAGGGAGGCTCCAGCGACGATAAGGTATTAAGTTCAAAAGAGTGTTCCACATTTGTAGGTTTTTTTGACTGAATAAGCCATCTTGAAGATCCTTCGGTGCAGTTCACTGCCCAGCCCTTCTTAGGACCTAAACCCGTCTAGTTTCTGAGCTATACGCCGGCGACGATGTGCAGACTATTTCGGAAAAAACTTGTTTATGCCCACCCGGGCATCCATGACGCCATAAAAATGTTACTCAAAATTGACTATACCATTAGCCATGCGGCGATCAAGGCCAATGCAAGCATAATTGTTGAGTCGTTCATAACTGGTGCTTGTGATTACGATTTCCAAATATAACGGCCGTCATTGGGCTCTCAATCAGTGTTGTGCATGGTGCGATGACGTAATCAAACCATGACGCCTTGAGGAGCATATTTACCACACAGGGAAACTTTGTTGCCTGGAAGAAGTTAGGCGAAACTTTAAATGAACGATTTTTTTATAAGACAGCAGTATTAGCCTTATTCCTCGGAAAAACCAAGAGAATAGAGATAAAGTTAGGTTGATATTTCGGCCACATGCCTTTCTCGAAACAAAAACGAAGTGAATTCACTTCTGCTATTGTCTCGAGAAAGGCATGTTGCCGAAATATCAGCTTGACTATATCTCTGTTCTCCTGGTTTTCTGAGGAATAAGGCCAATACTACTTTCTTATATATGCGAATAATGTTCCTCGCTGATGCACTGAACAACTTACGTAAATTTTTTTTATGTACGCGGCTGCATACATGCTCGATTATGCATCGGGTTTCACATAAAAGCTCCTATGTTCAAAGCTCCCATGAACGTGAGATTTACGACAGGACATCTGCATACAAAGCTGTTCCGCAACATAAGCCCTCGGGGCAGAATTGTCATGGACAAAGCCTTCCCGGGCACTACTTCCACAGAAAAAAATGTCTGTGGCGAAACGTTCTGCGCGACAAAGCATCTGCAGACAAAGCTGCGTACTGGCACGCAGATACACGCATACACGCATACCGATGTAAAGAAACTATGAACGGACGACTGCCACAGACCAACTGCTTCGCGACCAGACAAAGCTGCGTAATGACACGCAAATACACGCATATCTACATACCGATGTAAAGAAGCTGTGAATGGACAACTGCTACTGACAAACTGCTCCGCGACATTACTCTCGCACATCGAAGCTGCTGTCAGCAAGCCTTGCCGCAACATTTCTCGTACGGGTAAAATTTCCCGGGCAGGAACTTCTACGCAGTAGCATGCACAAAGTACAGAGTTGTAACATGTCACGACTGCTACAGGAAAGCTTACAAGATGTGCGGTAGCTGGCACGAACAAATCCGCCACACATAACTTCCGCTGACAAAATTTTTACACCACAAAACGTTTACAGTGAGGCTCCTTCATCTCTCGTTACTACTGCCACGAACAAAACTTCCCTCCAGGGCTAGCCCTCCCTCAGTTCACTATAGCTAACGTAGCCTAAACATAATCTAACCCAACAAAATCTTAATTTGCCCAGACAAACTTATGTTTACCTGGACTGACATGACCCGACCCGCCTTGACCTGACCTGACCGGGCCAGATTAGAGTTGACCACACTGGATCCGACTGGACCCGATGGGATAGGATAAGATGGGATGGAATGGGAACAAATGACACGAAACGAAACGGAAGAAACGGAAATTGACGTGACGGGTCCCTCGCCCATCTCCCGAGCGTGCAATGAAGGGTATGCTAATGGTAACACCCGGCGAACGCACGGATGCCTTCAACAAAACGTTTGAGGCAAGTGGTTGCGGAGACGACCGTCTTCGCCTCTTCTTCCAGTCATCGGTGTCCGAACTCTGCGCTGTGAAGCCTGTCATGTCGACATTCCACGTCGATGTTTATGGAATGATTTGGGAGAAAGCCGTCTTGTGTGCTGCGGCCACGTGCGCTTTTATCGTAGGCAAATCAACTTGACTGAAAACACCAAATATTACGTGACCATACAGGCCAATTACGGCATGCTGCTGAAAGAACTGCGGGAAGTCTTCGACCCTAAAGGATACCTGCTGACAGCAGCCGTCCCGGCAGGAAAGCACAACATAGATACGAGCTACGATATCCCAACGTTACAGAAGTGAGTACAACGCCAGCTATGTACGGCAGGTAGACTACAAGCTCTTTTTGGCGCCTTCTTCGCGTGTTTCACTTGCATGGCAAGTTGGATAACACATAGCATGAGTTTATGCAATGGTTCATCACATCATGATATGCGGTAATGGAGTTATTCGAGAGCACGCAAGATGCTCGACATTACATTGTGCACAAACTGAAAATGAATTTGACTGCCCTCCCACTACCACTCCCCCTGTGTGCGTCGCCTTGACTGGCATCCGACAGACCGGAAGGATCTTACACGGGTCGTGCGTGCGTGCCCCAGTTCATATTAGGGCTGTATCGGTGGCTATCGGTCCATGCTCAGACGACCTCCACGATGCATGCGCGATGCCGATGTAGTCCGCGGCTGGGAATATTGTTCTACGGTGGTGGCCCTGGTTACCACGTCGGTCCGTTGTCAGTCGCGGAGCACGTTCCCGCCAAGGCATCTACTAAAACATTTTAGCGTCCCTAAATACCAGTGAAGTTTCTCGCATGGCAGGTGTACCACATGATAGCAAGTGACACGCTGAGGCAGCGCCGTAACCAGTAACTCCCACGCTGAGGTAACTCCCACGCTGAGGTAGCGCCGGAACATAAACTGTACACATGCATATCCCAGCCCCCATGGGCACATAACTTCATACTTTCCGCCCGCGCTTCTGCTGCTACATTTCCCAGATGGTCCAACGATGCGGGGTCTTAAATATCTGACACCGCGCCGACGACACAGTGTCCCACGGCAGCCTCATGACACCGGGAATGGTGCCCCTGACGCCCAGGAAATCATGACGAGTCCGCGATGTTCAGTGATAAATGTAGCGCGTTCAGCTACCGCATTTACTAAGCTAATTTATGCCTGATGTTCTTCTGCCCGAAGACCAAAATCGTCGAAAGGCTGCACGCGCTGGTAAGTGGTTATGTATTGGTGTAACACAGATCAAAAGTAGTCTTCGCGCTTGCCGCGGGTGCACATTACAGTATTGGTCAGATCGGCCAGGCCAATGGCGGAAATGGACGCCTTACCAGGAGGGGGCAGCCACGATCCCATGAGCAGTGTTGGCTGTGCACCTCCGCTCGTAACCGCTCGGCCATTTACGCCGCGAATTGAAAATATAATATATGTGTTTATTTGTTTAAATGTGACGTTAGGCTGCAGGCCATCGTCAGAAGCGGGATGGACGCCATGTATTGTTTCCACTGTTTTCCTAACAGAATGCACCATGCACGCCACGAACTTTCCCACCTCGCAACATTCGCAGATATCTGGACCTGATCGATGTCATGGCATACAACTACCACGGCAAATGGCAGCCCTTCACGGGCCACGTGGCGCCAATGTACGCGTCCCACCTGGACATACAGCACGGCAACGGTTATCAGTTCTACAATATGGTGAGCAGTTGGTGCAACAGGCTCATTAATGAGTGGCGCATGGCACCGTGCCCCACGACGTTAAACACATCAATCAGATTGCAATAGTAAGTAGCCGTGGCAGTCTATTGTATTCCTTGCATAGTGCTTGCTTTAGTCTTAGGTGTTGAGGCATTTGTGTTGTGGCAGCCTGCTATTCTCCCGGCAGTGTTTGCTTTAGTCTTGGGCGTCACCATCGACCCATTTATGTTGTGGCAGTCTACTGTCCTCGTGGCATGGTGTTTCCTTTACAGCAAGCAGAAGTGCCCAGGGCTTAGTCTTAGGTATCGATCCGATCCGCTTTAGACAGCAAGGCTGAATCAGCTCCGTATTTATCCGATAGCCTTCGCAATGATCTACGTACGACCAGGGTCGTCTACATGCGCCATTTCGATGCATTCCCCCAACATGGTGTCTGACCGTTGCAGAACTACACCATCCACCACTATTTGGAGGGCGGTGCCGACCCCTCCAAGGTTGTCGTGGGCATTCCCTTCCACGGGAACGGCTTCAGTCTGCAGAGCCCTGGTCAGCACGGCCTGTACGCGCCCGTCAGCGGCCCCATGCCTCGCTGTCCGTACACGAGACAGGCCGGGGACTGCGGCTTCAACGAGGTATCCCCGGCCCACGCGCTGTCACCCGACGCCCTCGCAGGAGAAGTGTCTGTTGACCTCTGGCTGGGCGCTGTCCTCAAAGAGGTCACTGAAACATGCACTCAGTGCATGAGATTGCGAAGAAAACCGATGCGTCAGCTGTAGAGCTCAAGGCGTATTTGGCCGGCCTCAGAAAAACAAAAGTACTGATGCATGAATACCTATTGCATTAACCAGACCCGTATTTTTCAGCGGTGTACATTGAGCACATTCCGCTGACGTAGAACATTTGAATGTTACATATGTGCTCCATCAGTGCCTGCATATTTGTCGTCCGATATCGTGCTGCATCAGGCTGAGGTTCAAGTTTCATTTAAACTTGGGGCCAACTTAGCACTAAGGCGACTTGTGCGTTTATATTAGCGCACATATTTTCTTCTCAGAGCCAGTAACCACATCCTTCGGGGATCCACCGTGCACCAAGAGACCTGACGAACACCGGTATCCAATAATTCGGGATGCCTCTAGTTTTCGATCGTGCCGGCCTCTTATTTCAGGCACAGTGCAGTCACGTACCCAAGGCATCGCTTTTTCTGGACATTTTTTGGGAATTACGTCGCTTTTTGATGCAATATAGACCATCCCTCCCTGGACAATTTGCGCCGAGCAGTCCCAGCATCGCCAAGCGGGCTTGTAAGTATCCGGCCCTCATGGATTCCGCTTTCGTCGTCAGCTGTGCGAGCTGTACTTCACCAAGCCCGGCTGGACGCACGTACACGATGACGAGCAGAAGACCATCTACAGCTACACAGACGAGGTCTGGATCGGCTACGATAACCTCGAAACCATCAGGCTGAAGGTCAGTCGGTCGGGCAGGACGTGGTGATCATGTCCGCCATCCCGAGTCGGCCCACGCTCGGCTGCATCGCGATGCATCACTAGTCGGCATATATCGCTTCGCTCGGCGTGCATCAGGTGTGCCGAGGCTAGCGCTACAAACTCGCTGCTGGGCCGGATGCGTCGCCATGGACCTCGTGATTCCGCCGTGACCATGTCATCACCGACTATGATAACAGCCCGACCGATGTTGTTCATGGCGACTGGATACTGGCCTTTCCCGCTAGGTTTGACTTAAATAGAGAATGCCCCACATTAAGGGTATCACACAAAAAACTGCATTTTCGAATTGTTTGTGGCTTGTTTATAGCTGGTAGGAGCACTTAAGACATGAAAAGCGATTTCTAAACCTTTGCTTGCTGAGACCAAAACTTCTGGGCCCGCCCCTTCTCTCTCCCTAAGGAGCGCTTCTTACCACCGTCATGCAATCTTGCCTGGCAGCGTGGCGTTACGTTGCGCGACGTAGCATGCTTGGTGCCGCACTACTTGACGCGGTCTTGCCGTCCCTGAAAAGAAACTGATAACGACAATCTCGGTGTATCAGGCATGCCTATCATCTATGCCACGATGCATCAGCCGGGCCCATAAAGCGGTGCACGCGAGGCATGCCATAAAAATGGCATTCCTGAGCTCCGGTACGGAAAGGCATTGCTGGCAGTGAGTAGCTGATAACGCACCTCATCAAACACGCCTTGAAGATTCTTCAGAAAGCGTTATGGCCTAGATCAGACGGCAATCAATTTCGGCTCGCGTAGAAGGTGCCTGACTCCATCTTACCCAACTGCCCTGCTCCTGGTCGGCTTGCCTGCGAACCTGGGCGCAGTCTCCCATCCAGTACGTGACTGGATGGGATATATAATATGTGACTGGATGGGATACGTGATGGATGGATACGAGACTGACTGGCCGGTGGGGTGATGTGGGCTGGCGCCAGCCTGCCGGCGAGTGACCGGGCGTGGGTGGTCTGCTGTCGTCAGTCGGAGTTTATCCGGAGCACCGGCCTGGCCGGCGCCATGGTATGGGCGATAGACCTGGACGACTCGCGTGGCGTCTGCAACCTCGGCTCCAAGTTCGCCCTGCTGACGGAGCTGTGGCACCAGATGAACGGCGAGCTGCCCTCCACCACCCCTGGCCCGACCGTGAGTAGTCACACAGACGCCCAGACGTCCGCCATCGGTAGATCATCAGTCATCCAGGCGGCGGCGGACCCGCAGTCCGCCGATGGGAGCGGGGCAGCCCCAGAGATGGCTGACGGGTCTTTAAGCTTAGCCTCTCACACGCACAGCCGGCGCAATCAGAAGCTTTCTGTTGTGCCACAAGAAGGCGACAGGTTTGAGCTATGAGTAGTCATGCGAACAACTGACGGGAGAGTGAGGTCCAAGCAGCGCTACAAACAGCTGTGTGGTGAACTTTGGGCACCCGTTAAATTACTGGTGCCGATGGCAACGTGAGTGGCCTCATATATACATATATATATATATATATATATATATATATATATATATGCATATATACACATTTATACATATTTACAAGCATGCATATACATACAAGCACACATATATAATATATATACACAACCACTACCGAGCAGACCGTCAGTGGCATCAGTATATTAAGCCAAGTGATCTCGTAGACAGCTAACTAAGCAGGCTGTTTTTTCCAACAGGAGATAGCCAATCGGAGCCGAAGCAGTCCCGAAAACAACCGAGTAAACCGGGGCCAGCGCAGCGACTGTATCCTGTCACTCTGAACACCCTGCCGAGGCTGTTGAGCAGTCCACTGTATGGTGTGCTGTTCAGCAGTCAATTGTAAATATCCACGCAATCCACTTACCGGCGGACGTCGACGCTAAGCGTTTTGACGGCCTCCCCAGACGTCAGCTCCCGCGGACCACGAGCGTGAACACCATGGCCCGAACTCCGAGCCGGACGAGCTGTGGTAGCCGAAATGCTACACACATGGGAAGACAATCAGGTGTGTTCCCTTCACCAGATGTGAAGGAGAATCCCGTCATGTCTCCATTATCGACAGGCATGCGGTTTGCTGCCGAAAAACACCAACGCTCATGAGTCTGACTTGCTCACGGGTTAATGCCGATCTCGTACTTCATGGAGAAGTTACAGGGAATAGATTAATCGGACATCTAAGTGTTAGAACACTATGGCGCCTCCTAAACATTCCACTCGTTTCAGTTTACTTTGTGGAGATGGGGCCATCTTTATTGGATCAAGCTCGTCTGCACTTAGCCAGGAGGCCGAAAGGAGTAAAAAAAAAGGAACGCTGCAGCGCCACCTGCTGCCCGGCGAGCACAGCGACATCTGCCAACCTCCAAGCCTTTTGGAGCCTCGAGCAGGGTCCTCCCGAACCATTCGCCAGCGAACTCTTCATGGGTGCGTCGCGCGCCGCCGCCACCCCCCTCCCATCTGGCTGCAGTTGACAAATCCTGGGAAGATCGAGCGTCTCCATTTAGTACTATTGCAGTCTCCCGACGCAATGTGACACTCCTGGGAAGACGAACGCGTTTCAATAGTAAAATTGATCTGGGCAATACATAATCAGATTTCAACATTAACATGCTTGGATACAGGCCGCCCATCGGACTAAGAGTTTGCAGTTCAGTCACGCTGGATCCTCACCCCAAAATCAAACAACACGTGCGCAAACATGTTTATTTCTCGACAAGCTCAGGTCCACGCGTGATTGTCACAGGTCAAATATGTTATAAAAACTCTCCTAGCATTACGTAACGGACAGTTGAGCTGTTATCCGTCGGGTCCGAGGAACTGTGGACGAAATCACGCTCGAAGAGAAAATAACGGTGGCTCGCAGTTGAAAATGCCCCAGTCGAATCGAACAAGAGCTGGCCGACACGGCGCACGAAGAGTGATTTCCACTGATTCCGAGGGGAGAGGAGTGCCAGGGAGGGTTGACTAGATGTTAACCGGGACGTAACATAGGTGGCTTGGTTCAAGGCCGCAATATCGATTCCGGCAATCCGCATCAAGGGGGCAGAACACATCGGCTCGCTCGCCCGCGGGTGCCTCGCACGATGACCTCACATTCGACCGCCACGGCAATCTCAGGACCTGCTGCTTCCACGTTTCAACGTTCTTCACATCATGCAAATTCCCCGAGCCATACCCGGGCGTTACAAACAAGCGCCGCGGACGGCCGGCCGGCCCTTCGGCTCCCCAGCTCGTGTCAGCGCCCGGGCCCTGTGCGCGTCACCAGACGAGGGGCGCCGCCGGCAGGTCAGCGCGAGCGGCCGGCTGGCGGCCCGGCGGCAGGTCGGCGACCAGGTCACTGCGCCTTCTTGGAGCCGCGCGCCTTCCAGGCGGTCAGCAGGCGGCTGCTGAAGTACAGCGCGAAGCTGTGCACTTGCAGCGTCGGTACCAAGAAGGCGAGGTTCATCATGCAGTACGGCTGGCCCTGGCCGACAGAGCGCACTGGTCGATCGGCAGCACACAGCGGACCCCCGAGGCTGCTCGTCCCACCGCCCCGCAAGAGGGACAGCAGCTGTGACCACACGTGACACGGCACGAGCGACATCACTCGATAGCTTTTTTTACAATCAGCGCGGAATCTGGTGAGAAAGAGCCGAGTCAAGCTCCATCACATTATACACCGAATCCATCCACCCAGATCCACACAGTTGGAATAACAAGGCAATGCAAAAACGACACAGGGCGTCTAGCGGCCTGAGCTCGCGTCAAAGCCTATTTCCACACAGTCGTCCGTATGCAACGCAGCTTCAGCGGGCCGAAATGAGGATCGGCGACCGGCCAGCCCGCTGCGGTGACACAGCTCGGTGCACCGTGAGGTTGATCATGCCGCCCGGCGTGTGCCCACCTGCCACAGAAACACGTTCTCTTTGGAGCCGGTAGAGACGAAGCTGTACGCGTCCGGCAGGTAATAGACGAAGGCGAACAAGGCGGGCGCCAGGCCGAGCGTAGCGATGCCACCTGGCGGGCGAGGGCCGAACTGTCAGTACGCCAGTGCAGATCCCACTGTCCTGCCACCGGTGACCCTCACACACCGATAAAGAAGGCGTTGCCGTTGCATCTTGTCAAGCTGTCGCGCGCTGAACAACGCAGCAACCGCTATACTCGCTGAGACCGGTCATGTAGAAATACAAAGTATCTGGGGAGAACGGTATATACAGTAAGATATCCATTTCAAATCGGTAGCCTAAGGCCAAGGTATTTAATGACATGACTGAGCTTGCTGTGTGGTTAGAAGCGTAAAAACTGGGACTTTTGGTATCAAGGCTCCCTGGTTTTCTCCAATCAGTACAAGAAGGAAGCAACTTATTCTCAGTTCACGCAAGTTTGAGTGGCCTAAAAACACATTTAATCCAGCGCCCAGGAGCTCTGAAACCTGCTTAGTCCCACCTCATCGCTCTCACACATCACTGAAGTTCACTGAGATATGACAAAGCGTCAATCGACATGAAAATCAAAAGCTTGGGTGACCTAAATAACCTCACTTAATTCAGCGACCAGGAGTTCTTAAGGCTCTGAAGCTTGCTAAGTCCCGCCTTATCGCGCTCACACACGAATCACCGAGATGCACTGATCTGTGACAAAGCATCGTAGAAAACCTAACACAATCGTGGAAACCGTCATGAAGCCGACTGAATCCGAAGTAGTCTCTGCGCAGTCTGAAGCGGAGCCAAGACTCGGCCACCTTCAGCGCCAGATTTCTAACCATGCTGACACAGGGAGACTCCTTCCTCCCACAAATGCGCCGATGCATGACAAACTTGACGATGTTTCCGTCTGCGTGTTGTCTGTCTCGTCCCGTCTGCCTCCTGTGCTGCGGAGAAGGCAGTCAGCGTGCCTGCTGGGGTGCGTCTTCCGAAACACGGCAAATGTTCTGGACCAGAGCAATGCTTGCCCGTAACTGCGTTCCTTTCCGGAGCCGTTGGCCTTTCTTGTTGAAAAGACCCCAGAGAAATTCCAGAATATCAAACCTTGCCGAGGTCCTTCCGGAGCTGTTGGCCTTCCTTGTTGAAAGGCCCCAGAGCAATTCCAAAATATGAGGTCTTACTGAGGTCTGGCAGGGCACGGGCAGGTCCTTTAGGTTCGGGAGTTCCAACAGCAGCTTCATGGTCAGGTATGTCTTCACGTCGCGTCATGTATACAGCAAACCTTATCATTAACCCGGCAGTTAATATGCCAGCGATTGGCCTTAGAGGCCGCTATTGATGTTCATTTGAGGAGCTTTGCGTCTCCGTAAGTAATGATCCCCGAAGTCCCTGTGGTATTGACCTGCGGAATGCAAATGTCGCGCATGTTGTAGGCGTAAAGGGACTTGTGGTGCTCACGCGGAAGGTGCTGGATTTCACTCTCTTGAAGGGAGAACACCGCCGGACCATGCGTCCATCACATGCAGGGCGGGCCGCAGCTGCTCAAACTCCTGCTGGTCAGCAATATCGCGGTACAGCTAGTGTCGTATGCGAAAAGTTGGGCCACCTGTAACGCTCTCCCGCAAATTTTTCGCGACGAGTACTGACTGACCCGGCTCGGCACCAATCCCTGAGGATAGCAGCGACCACCGTGGCGACACTGATGACCACTCTTTTTCGGACAACTAAAGCGTTATTCATTGAGGGACTTGGCCTTGAACGCTTACGGCGTGCAATTTCTAAAGAAAAAACTGGCGTTTAACGGAGTACAGGGCTTCCTTGAGTTTTTTTTTTTTGCGTTTCGTACACCAAACGCGGTGGACGAGATCACGCACCCTTCCATGGATCGCCAGCGACCGCAGTGGCCAAACGAGCGCCCACGGGACATGCTGTAACCAGGACCGAACCCGCCCCCATGTGGGGAAGGGAAGGGGAGCACAGGTGCTGACCCTCTGAGAGGCTGTGCGCAACAATGCTGGAGTTTTGCTTCTCCTTGTTAGAAGTCATCCAAATCCCTGCAAGCTATGCAGGTCCCAGGTGGTCTTTAGACTGTTCAGGAATTATGTCCAAGTTGTAGTTAATAGAGTTGATCAACTCAACAAAATGTTCTATTGCTTTGTCAGCCCATGATATGCCATGATGCTCTTGCTGTCAGGTGTTGTGGATGAGAACCTTACTTTCCTCCTGAACTACCTGGCCAGAGAGCTACAAAAAGCACATGGCCATACTCAGGCCCAGCTCAGTGGGAGACCTAGTTCAGAAGCACATCAGCATCAGCATGTTGTGCACCTTGTGCCCAGAAGAGTGTGCTTTTACCTCTGTTGGAGTCCTGAACCTGAGGACTTTTAACCCTTCATTATTAGCTCTATTCCACTGTTTCTGCTACTTCTGTGGATATTCAAGTATTGGCAACACTAGCCTTGCATCCCTCCCACTGGGAAGATGAGGCACCTTGTGCACTGTGACACCCAAGCAACAAATGCTGACCTTGTGTGGATAATCTACTATATTGCCATCAATGTGATTGCCATACAAATGATCCCAACATGTTTCCCTTGATGGAACAACTCAGTTAAATCATAGATCATCACAATATTGCACAAAACTATCTTCACACTATGAAATAAAATAATAGCAAGTCTATCAACAAGGTAAACATCACAGCCTTGTTGAGACATATTATCACAATCCAAAATTTCCTCATCCACTTGTCTACAGACATTGACTGACCACTCACATAAAACAGCTGCACATGAAAATACTGGCACAACTTACCTATGTATACCTGCAAGTAGAAAATGCTATTTTTCTTGCATGCAGAAAGAGCACAGAATGAATAAAGGATGCTGAAGGCCCAAAGATACTCCCACTTCACTGGCTGTAAATGAGGAGCAGCATATTAAACATAAGTATAGATATACAGAAACCTGCAACAACTAGAAAACACAAGTCAATTCAAGTAATTGCCAAAGAACTGCTCTTATCATGCCAACAAAAGCTACTAAAATGTTCAAATTTTAAAGAACATTAAAATCCTGACATATCCTATACCTGACACTATCAAGGCACACAATGTTGTGCAACTGCCTTCAAATCATTTGCAAATGTGGCTGCATGCAATGATTCATTGCATTGGATCAGAACATACAATCAAATCAGACATATTTTGCCTCCATGCAGTGATCTAAAGACCTGCAAGATGTACCATCCTATAATATATACTACCAAGATACAACTTAATCTGCAAGATGACCAGCTGTAATGCCATCAAATTTTACATACCTGTGGTATTTCTAATTCTTCTATTTCTAGAACAAATATGTCCAGCCTGTCTAAGACATCTGCTGACAACTTCGCTGCCATCAAGATGAACAGCAAAAGGTGCATCACTACACAAAACTTGAGCCGCCATTTCATCTGAGCACTGAAAGGTAAAGATACAATCACCATGTAACACAAAATGGTCACTGCTTACAGAGTGATGTGAATGTCCACACAACAAATGGTTTACTGACAAACAAAACACGATAATTTATCCAGTCAGGTGTACACAAATCTAGGGAAACCTATCTTTTTTGGAAAAATGTAAATGCTGGTTGACTGGTGGTCAGACTGTTACATCAAAAGCAAAGGAGGAGTAGAAGGCACATGATCAAGCTCTGTATATGAAGATTGTAAGCAATGTTTTTGCTCCTGAGGTGCCAGCAAGCCACCCCCTGAGACATTCAACCATGTTGCTTGAAAGATGTGTTGTGCACTTAGAGATTCCATGAATTGATAGCCATAGCCATTAACCATAGCTTTGGAAGAATTGTACAGTCTGGGATAACAGCCAGCATGAGTGCAACAAAGGTATGGACAATTGCTACTGAAAGTGAAAGATGGAGTCACTCACAGATGGTTTCCTGTCCAGACAGGTGGCTTCAGTTTTTTCCCACCTTGCCGAACATGGGCTCCGGGTTCCCGGCTCCAGCACCCGCCCCCACCCCCTAGCTTTGGGCAAAAAGTGAACACGGGCTTCAGCCCACACCCCCACCACACACTCCGGAACTTTGGGTAAAAAGTAAGCCAAATTCAGGGAAACATCCTATTATTGACATATTTCACGGACAGGCTGAATCATTTTTGACTGTTCAGTCCCCTTGCGCACTTGGCGGAACTACGCCCGAAGAATCACTTACCTCAGTTGGTACTGGGAGGCCACTCTCTGTCGGTGTAGGAAGTCGCGACCATCCGTTCCCATAGCTGTTGGGCCATTCATTGAAGCCATCTTGGTGCTATTATTTGCGACTAACTAAAAAACGCCAGCTGGTATAGGCTAGTGAAAGGGTACCATCAGTTTTCCATAATTGCACGGCTCACACGGCAACAGCCTCCACACGCCACACAACTCCAATCACGAAGACACACGAAGCACACGCGGATTTCGGACAAAATCGTACCAAGGTTAGGACACCTGTTCACATCTGTCCATTACACAAGTCTACTGCTGATGACGTCAGAAAAAGTCTTGCTAAAAAAACTACGTTTTTTGGCTTTTGGTTGCTGTTGCGTAAGTGATGAAGCACTGCTTACGCATGATGCTGCTATTTTTTGCGAGACCTTTCTCTCCTATCAGTTAATTTGTCTCCCTGCCGGTTTTTCTGTGGTGTTTGGCTAGTGACATAATTATCAGCTGGCATCTGCAGGTACGGTACAAAACTGTAGAACCTGGGAGCAACCACGCCACATTCGTGGACAGTTTACACCCAGCGTTGTCTGCGCGGTTGTACGCTTGATGTGCGTTTACACGCCAGAGCACGCCAGAGCCAAAGCAGTATATACCGCTAGAGCTGCGCGCAAGGGTCGCTTTGTTCTGCGAAGGGCCTAGTACGCTCGCTGGTACTGCTGGGTCTACTGAACCCTTCAAAGCACGGTGTACTGGCGTGTCAGCCTCTGGGAAGGTGCGTTTGAAGGTTATCAATTTATTTAGTCACTTCAGCGGTGAAAGTGTACGCACGGGTTTTCTCAGTGGTCTTAATCGCTATGGCTGTAGTCGCTGTGGCTTTTGATCTAATAAAATCTATGCAAGAACCTCAATAATTCAATTTCTATAGCTATTTTTACAACAACTCCAGGTTTGTGCCACCTCTGGTGCAATCAGTTAAATTTCTGGTCAAAATTAATTAAATGCCATTGTATGGTTATCTAGTTTTGACTTGTGTGAAAGGATAATCAAGATTGTGCTGGTAGCATGTTGGTTAATGCATCTGCATTAACCACTATGTCATGCATGTGTGCCATTCCTGCCTGGGTGAGGGGCAGGCAACATAATTTAGCTGCAGGAGCTGAGTGTGTTGCTAATCTCCAGTGACACAGAAATATAATTGACCTGTCTGAGACTATGCCAGGGTTGTGCCATATCTGTATCACCCATATTGCACATAGGTATACATATTGTAAACAAGACCATTCAGATATTCTGCTCATATTTAAAGAAGACATGTTATGAATTAAACATTTTTTAACCATGCAAGGAGATGAGTGAAATTTGAGGGATAGCTGTATCCCTGTTTGATTGGATCATCAGTGTTAAATTATGCTTTTAACCTTCACCAGTGAGGGGATTTATGTTAAAACACATGGTGAAAGGTAGGAGATAGACACATACATTTTTGCTCAAAATTGACAGCCAGGAACACAATAAATTGTATAAGTTGTCATCTGAGAGATCTGGTGATGTTTGATTTAACCCTCTTAGTCCAGTCAGTGAGCTGCCAGTTCAGGGATGAAATGCAGGAAAGTAAAATCAAAAGGGCTGGAGAATGAAGGGTGTGGATCAAAACATGTATGCAATTTGTCGTAACTCAAATTCTGTATCAAGGGGTAATCTAGGATTGATATTGTCCCAAATAATTGGCATGCCACCACCAGTTGTTTACCTCATTTGACCTTGGAAGAATCATATATCCATCCAAAATATCTGTTGATGGGAGACTTATGTGTTATGCTGACATAATGTCCAATTTACCACTGTCTGGTGCTGAGCAGTGAAAGCATGATGTGTGGTAAAAGATACTCTGTGCAAGTTCAGTGGCCTGGTGTGGTTGTCATCAGGTTTCTTTCTGGCCAAAAATGTATAGTGAATGCAATATCAGCTCTGCAGATTTTTGGGGGCATTTATTGTTTGTGATCCCGGGAAGGCTGCATGGTGGGGGTGCAACCTGTGTGCATCAATGGTTAGGACAATGTTATATACCAGAATCCACACAAATCAATATTTGTTGTGGGGTTTAGGACCTATGGCAGGGAAATGGTTGTAACTTCAGACAGGGTGTATGGTTGTCCAGTTCACAGTAAGCTGTGCTGCTGGTAAAAAGCAGACAGTGTAATATCATGTCCTCAGCCACCCCATGTTCACATCAAACATGACATTGGTCATGCTTGTGTGATATTCTTAACTGATGTGATTTAACTTTTTTGTTGTCATCATCCACCACTGATAATTGAAATCTGTTTGCAGTGTGGAATAATGGAGGACAGCTATGAAGAACCAGACAGAAGAGTAAGTGAAAATGAAGATCTGGATGAGAGAACACAGATTCGCAAAGAACTAGCAGACATGTCTTTTGAGGACATTCAAAAGCTGAAAGATGACCTTGGTGCAAAGGTTTTCAATGAGGCCTATCATGGGAAGCCTCTTCGAAAGCACCCTCAAAGTAGGGTTCATTTCAGTGTGAAAAGCAGGCGAAGTCAAGCCTATTCCAAGCAGAGCAAGCATGCACCCCGGGAAGAGTCCTCAAAAATGCGCGTGCCCTCCGTTCGGGATGTGGTGCTGGTCCCAAAGGTGATCAGAAGGGATCCCAGGTTTGATGGCGTATCAGGAAGCTTCGATGAAAAAGCGTGGCAAAAAAACTATAAGTTTGTTGATGAGCTGAAGTCATCAGAAAAAGACCGTCTAAAAGAACAATATCATCAGGAATCTGATCCTTCTGAGAAGAAGAAGCTTAAGCTGCTGCTGCAGCGGATTCAGAACAAAGAAAAAGCGCGAAAGGTGAAAGAAGAGAAAGAAGCTCAAGAGCACGCTGAGCGAGAAGAAAATATTTCCAGGCTGAAAGCAGGTAAAAAGCCGGTGTACAAGAGCAAAGGCTTCAAAAAGAAGGAAGCTCTGGCTGAGAAATTCCTTGCATTAAAGGAAAGTGGTAGACTGGACAAATACATGCAGAAGAAGCGAAAGAAGGATGCGGGGAAATCCAAGAAACAGCTTTTAACGTAAACAGTGCAATGGAATGTTCATATTTACGTAAGAACTTGTGACATTGTCGGTGCCTATCGTTATTTTGGTGAAACTCGCTCTAGGGTCTGGTTCATAAAGCCTGTGAGGTGACAAATGCGTGCTGATAATACAGGTATTAGTCGTCGATTTAGGTGTTGACCTCAAAATGATCATTCAAATGACGGCGTATTTGCCGCAATACGCTGCCGACCAGCATCAGCAGAGTACGTCAAAAAGAGTGCGACGGGGCAATCCTGCAGGGGGGGGGGGGGGGGGGGGGGGGGGCGTAGGAGGAGGAAATACCCGTAGTACAGCAGACGTAGTACAGAGTACAATATACATCACTATGCCGTCCCCACAGTGGCCGAGCGTCCGGTGCGGGGAATGACCCCCGCTGTAAGCTATGTTTTCGCACGCACAACGGGGTGCGTACGTGTTGGCCGTTCGTGTGATGCAACGCGGTCCTGATCAAGCACGGCCCATGCGAGTTACATCCTTCACTTCGTCGATCACTTCACTTCATCTGAGTCGATCACTTCATCTGAGAGCGTTCGACGGTTGCGTTTCTGTTATCAATGTGGGACGCTCATGCTGGAACGTTGTTTGGCGCCTAAAACTTTTCTTGTAGCGATATATGTTTTGTTTCGAACAGTGCAGAACATTGTTTTTGATAGCTGCTTGCTTCGCAGTCATATCCAGCTTTATTCGCCAAGAGTCGCCTGATTTGCTAGTTTGTGCAAAACATTTGTATTATACTAAATTGTATTCAGCATAGCATTTTCACCACTTCAGCGCCCCCTAAAAATGCCATTAAACCAATTAACGCGACGCGAGGATCACGAGGCGTCATTTATTTGGCAACTGTCATCCCAGGTATAATACACTTCCCACGTTGAATAACACCGGGCCACAGTGCAGGCACGGCTGCATGGACAAGTCGTGCGAATGCCTCATCACATCGAACCATGCGCCAACAGAAACATGCATTAACACCGCACTGAACAATGCCAGGGATTTCAGCGGCTTACACAGCTAGGCGTCCCATAGCGCCTTCGGGCAGCATGGACCACCACCCTCCAGCTAAGCGATCGGACGCACCAGCGTCCGGCCAGTGGAGGGAGGGGTCCGGGCGACGGTGGCGCCACCGTCGGCAGGTGGCGCGACTGCTCCGCGCTCTCCGCCGTCGGGCTGACCGCCGCGCGCCGGCGATCGTGTGCCGGACAACGTTGGGCCCCACGTTGCCAAAGTCGAGCCGTCCCGGCCAACGGGACGGTCAACTGGCAGAGGCAATAGTTCTCAGCTTCAGGCGCATGAGGAGCGCGATCAGTAGAGCCGTCGGTGGTCGGCCACATCAGCTCGAGTAGAGCGAACAGCTGCAGCGGGAGGACGATCCTCCGGCGGCCGCCAAGTCCTCAGTGACGGGAGGGGGGGGGGGGGGCAGCCAGGCCAGGAGCAACGCGGCGTGACCCCCGGGGTGGCTCACTTCAGACTGAATCGGAGCACGGCCAGCGACGAGATACAGCGCACAATCCTCCGAGCCCGCTCACTTCAGACTGAGCAGGAGCGCGGTGAGCGACGGAGATACAGCGTACAATCCTCCGAGCCCGCTCACTTCAGACTGAGCAGGAGCGCGGTGAGCGACGGAGATACAGCGTACAATCCTCCGAGCCCGCTCACTTCAGACTGAGCAGGATCACGGCGAGCGCGACCGGCAGCAGCGTGAGCAGCAGGGCGCTGACGATGCGCGTCGGGGTCCACGGGTCGACCTCACGAGGAGCCGCTGCGGCGCGCGGCGCCGGCCTCAGCAGCCCACGGAGCCAGGTGGCGCCGGCGGCCGGACCGGCTCCGCCGCGCGACGCTGGGGGCGCCCTCGGGCTGCTCGGAGCCGCACCAGAGCTCGCGCACGTACCGAACCAGCGCGAGCTCAGAGTTGGCGACGATGTCCGCCTGTGGGAGCACGGGCGCGCAGTGTCAGCACCGCGGAGATGTGCGAGAGACGCAACAATACGCACGAGCCGGCCTGTTCCCTGTTCGGCGCGATTCGTGAGTCAGGGGCGAATATCGGTGGAATGACCCTAGGCGCGCCTTTTGTTGTCAGCGACGGCTTCTGCTCGCGGCTGTAGGTGACCACTAATCGACTGCATCACGATATCCCTGCTGTAATGATTCGTATCAATTCAAAGACAATCTTGTCTACGACGCTTTAGACGTAGAACACAATAGAATATTGCACGGCATGCATGAATCCCTCAATTGTACCCGGCAAGCACATACTTCCAAGGTACAAACTACTAAAATAGCCAGGTACCTACACATTTATAAATACCTGTAAGATCATGCTCGATGTTCTCACCATGCCATGCGTCCATCTAAACCCCATCGACCAATAACATAACTTCCCTAGGGAAGTGCATTTATTTAGTATCCATCCCACAGAGAGCAACCGTTCTCAACAACGCTCAAAGAGCACCGCCACTGAACGGTAGCTGTAATCACATAATCACGGTAGCTGGTCGCGTCTGAGTGTACGGAGGACGATAGAAAGTCGTGCGTACATGCGTCTTACCAGGCCCTTGACGGGCGCTGTGTCGGCCGCCGAGTGCAGCAGCTGCTGGGCGCCGTCCCGACGCTGCTGTAGAAACTGACGCACCCACTCCCACGCCTGCTGCAGCACCTTCATCAGTCCGGTTGCCTGTCGGATAGATCGCGGCCGGCTCAGGCTGCGCCCCGTGATGCACGACTACAAAGGGGGGAGGGGGGGGGGGGGGCTCAGAGCCGCGTGTGCTGACCGGGCCGCAGTGTTTTCAGCGCCACTTCGGTGAGGCGAGGTGAGGAGGTGAACGGTGCAATGGTCGACGCAGGTGCCTCGCAAGCTGTGGGAATGGACGCAACCACGCCCTCAAGGGGATGTTTCACATTCAAACATCTCTAAGTAAGCATCAGACATGATGAAACAGGCTCACTTATAACTACTGGTATACTTTTAAGAAGAAAAGAGTGTTCTGTGCAACACAATATCCCTGTTTGGTAAATATGCTCCTCGATGCGTCAGTGTTGGATTACGGTATGGTACCTGCACAACCTTGACTGGAAGCCAATCGACGACCGTTGTATCTGGAAATCCTGCTTACCAACGCTAGATGTGAACAACCCGACCGTCATATTTTTTCGGCCTTAATCGCCCCATGGCTTTTGAAATGACAATGACAGGCATGTCGTAAGCCTGTTATAGTACGTCATCAAATCACGACAGATAACATGCCTGCAATTGACCCACTCCCTAACCACGCTTCAACCAGGAAGAGTTACGTGCCACACGTCGTAAACAGACAATGAAAATGATAAGATCCGTCGACTTAATATATAACGATGGCAAAAGGCACTGGTCTGTTCCGTATCTTTGCACCAAATGTGTGCTCCGGACACATCTCACTCACCTCGAACACAGCGTAGTACATCGTCTCGACCAGGGCTGCGACGAGGGCCAGCGCCCTGATGACGTAGTGGCGAGCCGTGGCTGCGACACCGCCGACCCATTCATACACCTTGGCTGCGACTCTGCCGACCCATTCGGACGCCGTGGCTGCCAGCCAGCTGGCCCAGTCTGACACGGTGGACTGGAGCCAGCTGACCCAATCAGAAGCCGTGCTGATCAGAAGAGCGACCGTTTCGCGCACCCAGCTGATGACCTACGAAGCCGGGCGGCGCATTAGCAGTGTTCGCGCCAGCTCGGCGGCGCCACGGTGGCAGGAAGCCTGGACATCACGGGGTACCACAGTGGCTGCGGATGAGCGTCAACACGCGGCGGGCAGGGAAACCGTGAAGAACCGAGTCAACGGTACGGTACAGGCATGTAGAGCCATACAAACAGAGATACACATCTCTATCAGCTACAAAACTGATAAAAAGCCTGAGCTACATATGTCTGTCTATCCGTAAGATTAAAAAACCGGCCGTTAAAAAGACGGCATTCAACTATTGTTCGCCTCCCGTTCAAAGTAGCTATCCATCCATCAAATGGTGCACGGCACAACCTCGACGGTAGCCATATGAGTAAAGGAGAGGGGGGGGGGGGGGATGGGAGCAGCCACTCACAGCTGTCGCGGCCTGGACAGGCAGAGCCACCAGCTGGCGTACCGTCTGCACCGGGTGAGAGAGCAGCTGCAGCGGCAGGAACAGCGTCGTCATCAGCAGCAGCGTGAACCACTGACCCGCCAGGCACCTCTGCTCAAAACCTGACCGAAGAAAAAGGACAATGTCACGGACGTAACTTCTGGAGCGCCCCGATTTCAGGACAGCTCAAGCAAGCCGCATCAGTGACGTGCGCAACATGCCACGGTTGGGGAGGGGGGGAGGGGGAGCACAGCTAAAAAATCCCTGAAAGCCAAGTAAAGCACACCACAGGCGCACGCAGATCCTAGCCTGTCGTAAAACGTCGCATGCTTTCGATGCTTGTTATTTGATGCTTATTGCTTTAAGCGTCTATCCGAAATTTTTAGGCGTCAATATTTAGACATGGACATGTTGAAGCATGCCGCAAGTCTGGCACGACAGGTGCTTTCGTCGGGGACTGCTACGTGCGCGCGCCTTTAAAATGCACTTGTACCTGTCCTTTGCAAGCACATATGAAAACTAGGTAAATGGAGATTAGATCGATGTATCAGTGACGTGCTGGGGTGAGCCTGCCTATTATTAGTAAAAGAATGTCAAACGAACTAAGTTTGATAGGAAGTGGATGGAGCGAGGCGTGAAGGCGAACGCGTTACAACAGCAAGAGGAATGATCCAGTGCGATAATCATGGGCGGCATACACCGCGAGTTGCGTGCTAAGGTGACGGGAGGTGGTCTCACGCACGTACCTTCAGCTGCCACCTGAAGAGACGGGAAGGTGGTGACCAGGACGCTGGCGATGCCTTCCAGAGTTTGGTGTGCGAGGACCAGAGAGATGGTGAGCGGCAGCAGCAGCACACTCAGCAGGAGATCGCGGTTCAGCTGTACCGGCTGAAGCACGGAACCAACGGAGCTGGTGATATCGCACGTTCAGGACGTGCCATGAGTCGGCTCGCACATCCGATCATGAAAGGACTGCACGGTCGCAACCACGTGAAGAAACCGCCAACTGCGATAATACAGGCGCTCGGTTTGATTCCAATGTCGGCCTGCCATCGACAACACCTGACATGGCACGTCACTGTCTTGCACGAATGAACGTTCCGCATTCAAACACTCCGGGGCCCAGGATCCAGCGATCAGGAACCTGGATCCTTCTGCAAGGATCCAAGATCCTCGACCACAATCCAGGATTCCTGTACTCGGATCCAGGATCCTTCGACCATGACCCAGGATCCTTAGTGCCGGGACACCTCTGCGCTGCGCCTCCGACGCTCCCCGCGGACAGTCCCCCTCACCCCCATCCTCGCCCGCCACTCACGTCCTCCCTATTCTTCAGCTGCGGCATGGCCTTCTCCACCAGGTGGACGGCGGTGCTCCCGACACGGTCGGCCAGCCCCAGCGGCGTGCGCACGAGGGCGGTGCGTGCGATCGGCAGCGCCACCAGGCGGCAGTAGACGCCGGTCAGGTCCTCACAGGCGCCGAGCACGACGCGCGCCACGTCGCCGTCCTTCTGTGGAGGCAGTGGCCCGGATGATGGGAACGCACGCTGGCCGGGGTAAGCCAGCCGGCGGCGCAGGCGAGCGCTCGGTCAGGCAGCAGTCGTGGCAAATGTTGAGAGTATCGGAACAGAGGTTACAGACGGGTGTGACCTATGGTTTGGGGACGACAGATGATATTGCGGGGGACGCCACGTAGCTGCCAGACACAAGCTAATTATAAAATTTCAGGGATACAAAATTCAGGTGAGAACAAGAGTACCTAAAACGGTCATAGTCACAGCGTCATGCAGCAAAGCGGTAAAATCACGACCAGATTGCAAGCTAGTGCCCGGTGCAACGCGGTGCCAGTAAAAGATTGCCTCCGGCTCGAAAATGGATCTCACGGCAACAGCGAATGACATCTATGCAGACTGTTTACAGTCGTCGTACATCTGCACAGACTCCGACCAGTGTCACGTTACCAGGCGGACGTGGCACGTGCAGTTCTGCACGCCCCGCGCCCTTCGCCCCACGCCGCCGCGGCCGGCCGGCAGCCGCCACCCCTGTACACATGGCACCCCGCGTGTGTTGGACCAGGGCGGGGGTGTTTGCATAAGCCGTGTGTGTCATCGATGCCTGTCACGAGGGCAGCAAGTGATTGGTGCTGGCCTGCTCGTGATGGGGGCCAGCAAACACCAGCACTTGGCCAAAGGGCACCGCGATGGCAGCGTGGCTAAGGAGTGAGATGGCGAACACCAGCGTCTACAGCGGTCGTATGGGATGCAAATACTGCACCATGTGGACATTTCGAAGCGCCTGACTCCTGTGGCAAAGCGTTCGAGAAGAGGATGCCTGAAGAGTGACATCAAAGCCGTGACGCCCCCAGGCTAGTTATGCCACACTCACAAAATATAGGTGCACTCTGAGAATAGCCGTGCATTTCATTTCCTGGATCCAGTCCAATCCAATCCAGCAATTGTGAAGATATCCATCCACATGTCAGCCTTTCCACAAAATCCAAATACAGGCGTGTGTGCATATGGTGCCCCGGGGACACGTCCACCACGCCCTACCACATTTCTTGCATGCATCAGTACGCAAGTGACTAATTGTCAACAGTGAAAAATGCATGTAGACACGTTAAAATAAATATATCAGGAAGCTACGGCGCTGTTTCAAGCAAAGCCCTACACTCTGCACACCGGCAGCGCGCTTAACTTGAGTTTAATGGTCATAGCTAGATAGACGGCATGTTTGAAGTGAATATTTTCTTCTCCTTCCTGGAGTGCATACTGAAATTCAGCCCATTATAAATGCGCAAACTAGGGTGAGTAGACTTGACCAAAATCTCACTGTTAAGCTCAGATCAGTAAAAAGGTGCGACCTGAATGTGAGCGTTACCGTCGTTTTAAAACTGCGCGTCAAACCAATGAGCTGCACGCTACACAGCGATGTGGTCTTGTTGCTAAGCGACCGAAGTGTGCCATCTTGTGTTTGATCCTGGATTTGACCTTGTGCCACGGCAGGACAGCCTGATTATGGCAACCAACTCAAGTGGCTCGTCTATCATCTCGGGTGCTAGCTATCAAGGTTCCATCGAGTGTGCTGCAAGATCTAACAGATACCAAAAAACAGCCCCGAGACAGCGACCTAACTAAGAATTCCCCCAGGGAACCAAACATCGATCACGGGTATACAATATTATACTACACGTTAGTCAAATAGTCTCAGACAACCAAGCTGCTACATGAAAGATTGTTTGCTTGGCGTAAAAATGGTTTGATGGAAGCAGGTGTTGCGGCATTTAGAACCAAATGCAACCGGAAACCCTGCTCAAAAGTTGAGGCGGGTGGAATGTGCCTTTGGAACATCTAAGAAGTGAATGAGACTCTCTTAGCTTGGTAGTCATACAAGTTGGAAGCTATTCCGCTCGTCTAGATGATTCCCTGAAAATCTATCTTAATGGCTCCTTCTTTAATTATCACTCTAGGCTGCTGCTACAGAGCCATTTGAGCTTTTCCAAACATTTGGTGTCCCCTCCACGGGGACAGAACTTCAGTCAGGACCTCTCCAGACGGCGGACGCCCTGTCTGAAGTTACGTCTCTGCGCCCAATCATGAATAATGCGGACGACCTTTGCACCCTTGGGGTCGAGACGTCCGGTAATACCAACACCTGTCTTCGAGGGTCGCTTCTCCCACCTGCAGAAGAGTTTCTTAAACTGTGTGGTGCCCCTTTAATCCCTGATCTGGCGAAACAAATCTGATTTCCTCTCTCAGGACACTTCTATACATGCGCTCACATGACAGATGCATCTGCAGTTTAGATGCATCTGCACTATAGTGTAGACATCCTGTGAGCGTCGAAGCAAAAAACTTCACACGCAGACGAAGGACGATCTGCTCAGGGTGAACGGGAGAAGAGTGTCTTGCTAGTACAGGAACATAATCCCCTTTGAAAGGTATGGTTCTCTCTACGCCACCGAGAGCCTTTTCAGACTAGACAACTGGTGTGGAATTGTCTGTCTCCTCGGCTTTGTTATTGTCGACTTTTGTATTCATTGGTCCCAAGAATTACTGGGAATCTCCATTTCGGAGAAGTCAAGGTACATTTTTGTTAATACCAGGCTCCGTTTAACATACTAAACCGTTTGAACAGTGAAAAATATCCTCCATGGCTACCTGAGGCCTGACTATTCACCGTATGTAGCCACATGTTTGACCACGCACCACTGACTGTCCCGACCAGGATCGATTGGTGACTGAATGTCTCGGTAGGTCATTCCGCGATGCACATCCGGTGAAAATTCCCGATGCCGTCCACGCAAGCGTCAAGTGGCACGGGTATCTGGGGTGATGTAGTCAGGATTTCGCCCAGGAGGCGCCAAATTACGCCACAGGGAGACGTTTTAACCATTAGGGTCCTTCGTCGTCGCCACAGAGGTCTTGTTTTTCATCCGAGGAACTTTTTCGACTCATAATCTTATTTTGATGCATCGGGGCTCCGTGTGCATGCTTTAGAAGCCTCCGTTACCTCCAGGGGACGAGGTAGGGCCCCAAAATCTCCCCATTTGGCTACACCGCTGGCTGTCTGGTGTCGGCGATTTGGACAGACGCGGCCCACCGCATTTCCTTTAAGTGATTGATGAATCATAACGGCTGGTTCGTACCTTGATCGTCGCGTAGGCGTCGAGCACGCTGTTGGTGGCGTTCGTGACGACGGGCCACTCCAGCACCGTCCTGGCCGTCTGATAGCGCCATACCTCCTCCATCAGCTCCCTGGTCACGGGCACCTCCGGCCCGACTGCGGTCTCCGTCGCCATGGCTACCGAAGTGCTGCAATAGCCAGCTGATGTCGGCCCACCGTAACATGCCATGCGACGAGGAAGAATGTGGCAATGACATGCGGGTGAGGCGAGTGTGCTCATCATTCAAATACGTCCATTGCGCTCCGCTAGGACAAATTCCATCATGGATAGTCAATCTAAATAGCCGCAGAACCCCGATGTATAACCAATCATGTGGCAGCGAGTTGGACAGGATATGGGTAAATGCTTCTGCACAGGCATTGTTGGAGATGCTCTTATAAACCAAACCTTTTTACTCAACTTAACTCTTGCCAAACCGATGGAATGATATGTGAGAACAACCACCCCCGGGCGGAGCGAGGACAGCCATCTTCGTGTTCCGTCTTGACATTGATTAATAATGAGTGGGAAAGGCAAAGTATGTGGGAAGTGATAAACAACCAGCAGCGCCAGGCTTTGCGAGGGGCATGGACCTGACACCAGTGAGGCTGGCCTGTCGCAGGCATGCCTTGAAAGTGGGCCTAATGGCCAGGATTCGTGAGGGGCATGGACCTGACACAAGTGAGGCTGGCCTGTTCCAATCATGCCCTGGAAGTGGGCCTGATGGTTAGCCCTGAGAAAGGGAAGGCAACTATAAAGTGTTACGTTAGCTGCGCTCATGACTCCGCACACAGATGTGCACCGCAGGCCGGGGCTTAGAAATGATCCAAGGACTAGTGTTTCGAGTCTCGGCATCAGCCTCTATGAAATAAAAATGTCGCGCTTTTGCGTACCAGCACGCCAGAATTGTAGTCGATTGCGCTTCGGTGGAATCGATTCCGATTTAGACTCACAACGCCTTGCGTTGATTTCCACAACGACAATTGTTCCCACGCTGATGGTCCCACAATGTGGCACAACCAATTTAGGGTCAAATCCGACTCTGACTCAAGGGTAAAGGGCTCAGCTCCCAGATCGATCACGATGAAGGAGCTTCCAGAGACAGCGGACTAAGATAAAGCCTTTTCATGGGTGCCATAACGGCTTACATCGGACGGTCGCATTCGTTGTGGGATAGCTTTGCCATTTGATTTCGATCTGAGTCACCTCACCGCACATTCAGCTGATGTAACTCACCTCAGCACAATTCTAGAGAATCGATTTCACCCAGCTCAACGACAACCCTGCCGATTCCGGGGCCGACTCCGACTTCATGCAGCGTCAAGCACAAATCTGCGCCGGGCACTGCAGCTTTGCCGTGTATCGCTGCCTAAGGCCAGATCTACACAAGCGCCAATCCCCGATGTCGTCCGACCGGGTGACGGAGCGACTTTGACTTCCACCGAAGCATATTGGCGGCGATGGGGACATCTGTTGGGTTCGGGATCGTGCAATCTCCGCGCTTCCGCGAGGTACGTGACGGAAAAGTCCTGCAGCGGTGACCATTGCTAACGCGCCGGTCAAAGTCACAAACCCTAGTGTACAACCACAAACAGGGCGTCTCCTAGAGCTGCCCACATCTGGGCGGCTCGCCTAAAGCTTACCGTTGCTGTCGCTCCCGGCCGGTTCCGTACTGCCGTCTCCGTGCTCTCTCCTCGCCACCGACACGCTGAGTGGGTCTCCGCTCTCTCAGCCGCTGCCTGACCTCTCGCCGGTTTATCACGGGCGCGCTCAGAAGCAGTGACGCGGAGGGCAAAGTCCAACCGCGGTCCCCCCGGGCGGACACCTCCCATCCCCTCCCCTCCCCCGCCCTTCCTGGCCACGTGGCCGAGCCCTGCAAGCACACCGCCGGTCGCTGACGCAAACTGGTGACGGACAGCGCTGGCCGGCCGCGGGCGTGGCCTGTGTCACAGGATCGGGGACCTTCCTGTGTCCGCGGACTATGGAGTCAGTCCCACTCAGGGTAGAGCGTCAATACACTGACGACGCCCCGAGGATTCGACGAACAGGAGCGACTAATCTAGAGCAAATCTAGAACAGCCGTGAAAATGAGAATTGCATCGAAATGATGCGAGTCTGAACATGGGTTTTAGACCGCGGACAGTTTGCGTTCGTTTGACTTTTGGCGCGTGGGTTTCTCTGGATCTGAACGTAAGGCAACCACGATCCTAAAAAGTTCAGTTGAACGGGCGTTCAAATGAACGGCTGAGGCAGTCCGGCTGTTTTCGGCTGCTATGTTTTCAAATGCTCTGGCCGATGTGTGTATAAGTGGGGAATGGTTTTACTCGCACTTATAAAACAAATGCCGCGTATCGCTTAACCAATTTTGTCCCCGAATTTTCTTGCATCCATCTTTAGCAGACAGCTATTCTTTGCTTTCATCGACGTTAAGTTAGTCTGAGCTGTCATATTTCTACCTGTAAGCCTGAAATTAACTAAAGGTTGTCCAAATTTTGGTACCTCCACCACATTTCTGCCGCCATGGGGCCTATCGAGGGCGCTGGAAGTTGTTACATGTTACACAGTGACATACCTACGCCTGGTTGCTAATTCCTATTTTCAGGAACTAATTCTGCAGCGTAAAGTTTCCGAACGAAACAGACTACTGGCCGTGATAATTGGCCGACGCAAAATGCTCGAAACAAGGCAAAGAGCTCCATTAGACAAATGACCTAAGGTTTTCCGGAATTCAAATCTCTCCAGACTCCGGATTATTTAAGAATCTGTCGGCGGATCCACTGGGATCCGGGACGCGTGGTACCTTTACACAGTCGTCCTCTGGGGCTCGAAATCTTTCCAAAAATTTTGCAGGCGCTTCTTCTGTTCTACTGCGGCCCAGCGTCCATTTAATATATCGGGGAAAGATCTTCCGATATCGAAGATCCGGTATTCATTTGGTTGAAAAAGATGAACTGGGATCTCGATATTAGGCTCCACTTGTTATATTTATTCCATATGCTTACTCGCCTTGCCTTAAAAATGTGTTTTTTTCAGTGTTCTTAATTTTGCGACCGACCCCTCGCGGCGGGCAATGTTCAAGCACTTCCCAGATGCATGAGCTCTCACCAATCGTGCTCGAGTTCCCTGCTGTTACGGCGTGTGTGCAGAGGTCGACAGCGTACCAGTCGCTGCCCCGTCGTACGGCGCGCGTGCAGAGGTCGACAGCGTGCCAGTCGCTGCCCCGCCGCGCGATTCAGGCGTGGCTCCTGCTGTGTGCCGGCCGGCCAGCCCGGTGTCGGCACTAGGCGGACGCTGCAGGGCTCATGATCCGCCCACCGCGTGTGGTTGGACTTTGCACTGCACTTCGCCCTGCTCCAGGATGAGTAATTCATTCGTGACTGATGACGTATGCGTCGGACATCGCTAGCACCGACACTTTTACTGGCACGCTCCTTGATATGGCGGTTTAGCGTGGTGTCTGCGTAGGGTTTTATTTCATGAAATATAGTTAATAGCTTATCACATCCAAGCACACATTGTAGAGTGTTAAGGAAGAAAGCTGGAAACTGCCGAGAAGTGTAACTATATTCTTGATTTTTTTTTCTATAATGCGTTTGTTTGCGACACATTGCACACATGTACTTAAAGGTGACAGAAGGCGTGTTTCGCCTACGTCCCTGCGCGATCTTAGTGACTTTCTGAGCAACATCTTCAGCACGGACGGCGCGCCCTCTCCTCGGGTATGTCGCGTCCGGGTTTCCTTTACTGGCAATTGTGAGCTGCGTTATGGCTCGAAAATTGTGCGCGAAGCTTATCACCGTATAGTGCGTGGGTGGGGGCCCTCTTGTTTACTGCAACCCCGCACTGCCTTCGGGTGATAGCAAAAGAAACAGTTTAGCAAAAAGAAACCCTAACATAGCGGTCAGGCTGATGGACACCGTGACGAAACACAGCAGCAGTTGCATAAAAAGCACTCTCTACATGAGGCTCCCATTTTGAAAAGAAACCGGACAGCGGCATCTTCCTTCAAACAAGGGGACGCGATACACGCTTTTTATGGAGCGCCAGCGACTGCTAAGACAATATTGGGGTTCAGGGGCCACAACGTAGGCTGAATTCGAACCTGGGTCCCCACGTGAATGCCGAAGGTGCTAATCACTTGGCCATTACGCCCTGACACCTTGACACGTTAAGTTGTTGACACATGGCGCACATTGCGTTATCAGCAACGCTGGCCAATGGTGTCACAGCGATGCTGCATCTGTGGTTCAACAAATACCTTTACCCGCCAGCTAGCGTGTTTGGTGCCGATGACATTGCCGCGCGATGTACCCCAGAATTACGCACTAACTGTTGCACTCTACATTATATTTATGTTAGTCAAGTTGGCAGCACAGCCGGACTCATATTTAGAATGTTTGCACCATAACGAACTTGTGATTTACCTGAGAATCTGCACAACTTTGCAATGTGTCTTTCTGCTCGCAACGAGAACACAGCCTAAGACCGGCGCGCAGCTTCTCGTGGATCTTATTGTACTCCTGTTACCAAATGAGCGGAGTTGTAGCAGGTCCGAGACAAATGAGCGGAGTTGTAGCAGGTCCGAGACAAATGAACGGAATTGTAGCAGGTCCGAGACAGGCGTGTGCCTGGTTCCCAAGTTTTCTTCCAGGAAACTGATTCCTGACGCCTGGTTTCGGAAACAATGAAATCCCACATGTGGGTGCCAGTAGTGCAGTGGTTAACGCGTCTGCGTTAACGGGGTTCGATTCCCCACGGTGTCGCCCCTCTTGCCAGGGTGACAGGCAGGCGACGCCATGAAGTTTCTGTAGCTGAGTGCGTCGCAAAACCCAAATGACACACACACAATGAGATCCCATGCTTAAAATGAGATCGGATATCCAGAAAAGACCAGGATCCAGCACTAGATTAGGCCGAGGGGCCAGCAAGAGCCAAAATAGTGTCCGGCACTGAGATTCTCGCACGATAATCCTGAAAACATTCGTGCTTTGGTATGAATATATTGAGAAAGTGGTGGAAAGTGTTCGTGGGGTATTTGCAAAAGAGGGCTCTGCTGTGCATGTTCTCACGCGCGTTCCTGGAATGTCTCGCCGAGAGGAAGCCAGTTTATGTCATGTTAAACATGCTTCATGTGTGTCATCCGGAGCTGAGAAGACGCATGTGGCAGGTGTGCATGCACGCAGAAATAGCATGCTCGCTCAACGCACCTGCCTTTGGCCCGTCAAAAGCTAATCCCCTCGATCATGTATTCGTATTCATGTATAGTAAAGAAGTCGCATTCCAGCGCTCGGTCACCGAAGGCTTGCGGAACATTTTGTCCTGCAACCCCGGCATCACAAACTCGCACCAAGGGTGATATGGCGAGATCAGAGCTGCAAAGACCGATGAGCGGTAGACTTGAGCGGTTTTGGTGCCTGCCATGAAGATGGGCTCCAGGCGTCCACACCGTCTATTGGTCGAGGATCAAGGTGTCACCGAACGTCTGGAAGCCGTTCTCGTCGGCCACCCAGGTGACTGCGATGTTGCGACCCTCGGGGGTGACGAAGCTGTAGCTGCCCCTCATGACGGTGCCGAACTGGTCTCCGATCTGTCGCAGCTCGCCCTGCACCTCCGCCTGCCGCACGAGAGATCGCACGTCCGATGATGCGACTCGGACCACAGAGTCGCACGTCTGCCAACATGTCTGGGCTCGGCACCTCACGCGTCTGCCAACACGTCTGGATCAGCACCTTGTACGTCTGCCAACACGTCTGGATCAGCACCTTGTACGTCTGCCAACACGTCTGGGATCAGCACCTCACAGGTCTGCCAATACGGTTGCAACTAGCAAATGCACAAATTCCCACCCGCAGTTCGGCGAATCCGCAGATTTTTCGGCCACGAGAAAAAAGCTTACACGGTTAATGCGCGCTCTAATAGCGATCAGTTTGCGCCCAGAAGGCTTTTCAATGCGTTTTTTGACCGGTGCTGCATCTCCCCGCCAACTTTTTCCTAGCAATAGGCAATTTCACAGTCTATCTTTGGGTGCACAAAACAGAAGTATCTTGTAAGGTCACTGTCCTTCAACAGGTCAAGGTCAAGTCATGGCTGTCAGCGAAGGTAATTCCTTAGAAATGATTTAATCTGATACGACAACGGAGTATTAGACGAATCGAATCATTTCGACATGATTTATTAGGTAATAAAGCAGGTAAGTAAGTGGTTTTCGGGTAGTTTTTAACGCTCATCGTTCGTGTCTTGATCACAAGAACGTCAACGGATGTGTTATTTGGACTTCGTAGAGGTCATAGGAGCTAACTGACTTAGAATGATCTCGATTTACTTTTTGTTTGCATGAGCGTACCACCCAGCGTAACCCTTGATGCTTGTTTAAATCCAAAGACAAGAAAGATTGTCGAAGGCATTTGGTGACCATGACCTTTTGAAGGTAAAATATTGTCATTGACGTAAAATGAACACCATCACCTTTTGCTTAGTGGGGGTATCTAGGTTAAAGGTGGTTGAGTGAGGAGGTCTGGATAACTTCGGACACCGACGTGGGGTCTGACCTCGTTTGAACTTATTATTTGACTCTAAGGCAACGATCTAGAAATCTCAAAATTTGACTTCACTGAGTTTATATTGAGGCCTATCAGATCCGTGAACTAGGGGTCTCTAGCTTATATATATATATATATATATATATATATATATATATATATATTTGCATATATATATATATATATATGTGTGTGTGTGTGTGTGTGTGTGTGTTATGTGTGTTATGTGTCTTTTTTGTGTTATATGTGTTAATGTATATTTTTTCTCTCTCTGAAAGGGTCGAATTGACCTTCTCAACGGGAACCGTCGCATTATATTGGCCACCGGCTTCCAGGTACGCAAATTCTATTAAGGTCGTGAAATCTCGTCAAGCTACTTGACGTTAGTCGGTTAAGTACATTTGCAGGGATTTTAAACATAGAGATAAGACTGTGCTGTTAGCCTTATTCCTCACAAAATAATCAGGAGAAAGGAGAGACAGATGCATTGAAATTTCGGCTACACACCTTTATCGAGCGAATATAAACAGTACACACTTAACTACTCTTGTTCGATTCGATAAGAAAATGTAGCCGAAATAGCAATGCGTGTATGTCTCCTTCCTTCTGGTTATTTCGCGAGAAATAAAGGTAGCAGGACTGTTTCATCTAAACGTCACCTAACCACGCGGGTCATTGTTAGCTTATGTATCAGCACTTAATTATAGTTTGAATTGCATGCAACAAAGCGTTGTCACGCATTGCAAAACAACGTATACAGTCTGAAAATTCGCGGCACGTCTACTGTTCTTAAACAAAGATTCCAAAAAACAGCCACGTGATGCCGCACACGTCCGGACGTCCGTCGATCGCGTAGATCCGAATGGTCTTGCCTGAATCTGGTTAGCCGTGTGGAAGAGGTAGCGGAATGAGCCATCATCATTCCGCACATTGTCCTGTTGGATAATGGGCACCAACGGAAGTTCGTCGTGCTGGATAATGGGAGCCAGCGGAAGTTCGTCGTGCTGGATAATGGGAGCCAGCGGAAGGCCGTCGTGATGGATAATGGGAGCCAGCGGAAGTTCGTCGTGCTGGTCATGGTGGTGGTGGTGGTGGTGCTCTCCATCATCCTGCAGTCTCCCCAGCTTGCTGGCCGAAGCGACCAGGACCAGGGTGCAGAAGATGAGCTGCGGGCGAAATAACTCAGTCATACACTACGCATACCACGCCACCCACGGACAGACACATGCAGCACAAGCGGTGGGTTAATCGCATAGCTTGCCACCGTCATCACCAGTGGTGTGAGCAGTTCAGGTGGCGCCAGCTAGTTTCAGTTTTTGTTTGGAAAGGTGCGTACGAGCATTCCGTTTGCAACCAGCTAATCAGCTTCCTTTCATTTCACTTGGTACTTTGAAGTCTACTTAAAAACCCTTTGCTCAAGTCCAGTCAGGATCGTGGGATTGGAAAAGAGCGGGACAGTTGATTAAACAAGAGTGAGTTGACGCCAGTATGAGCGGAAGACGTGTTGCGTCAGATTATGAACGCAACATGCTTTCATCGGCACGCTTATAGTCAATAGGTACTAAGGCAGCATAACGAAAGTAATAAGGCGAGCTGTCTGGAAACTGATGAGGTGTACTCGCGAAGCAGACTCGGACAACCATCAGCCAGCATTTGTAGGATTTAAGAGGGTCTGGAGCTCGAGAGCACACACCGCATAATCGCCAATTTTCTATCGGGAGTTATCTTTGCTGAAAAATATCCGGGCCTGAAGGGAGAGAGAGGACCGGGTCTTCGACGCTCCCTTAGCTGCACCCTTGGACATAAACGAACTCTTCGCGCCGAGCGAAATAGCTTTACTTGATCACTTCGTAAATAGCGGCGCGAGTGTGCTGAAGAGGTAAAACGACATCATTTGCTTGCTTCGCTTTCAAGGAAAGTGGCAAGTGTTTACCTAGCGTATAGATGACTGCTAAAATAACCTAGCCAGTGTGCCATCTAGTGTTGAGAGAGGGCAGAAAATAATCATCCGATTGTGGAACAGCACAGACTGGTGCCGCTCCGTCGGCGTGCCGTTCGATGGGCCCCGCACACGATCTCACTGCCCTGGGCCTTCAGCGACGCTGTTTACGCCGCCTAGCGTAGCTGTTTGTGACGACCGACCGGCGGAAGGGGGGGGGGGGGGGGAGGGTGCGATGCCCTGGTGGGCATTCCCTGGCGGTGGCTGGGGTGGCGGAGAAGGGCAGAACGCCGACCTGTCTGACCTTGGGACCCCTCGCCAGACCCGCGGTTAGTTGGAAACGTTAGGATTGTACGGCATATCAGAGCAGCGACTTCCAAAGATCAAACATATCATGATAAAAGGATGTTACTGCCAAATAATACGTTTATGTATAACCACGTTTTGCTAAATTTCGTGAATTGCCTGTAGTCTCCTATTTCGTTGCGAGGGATCACCCTGCAGTATGTGACCTTCGAAGGTCCAAGCAGCGTATCCAATGACTTTTTTGCTTAAACTATGCATTCTTTTTAAACAGCCTTGTCCTCTTTCCTCGCCATTATCAGGGTCGAGACCATTCACCATGTGTGAACATGTACTTGGCTCCAAGTAACTGCACGACGTTTAGACTGGCTCGCCATCTCCTGCATTTGATGCACGTAAAATGTCTTAAAATGCACATCCCTCTGTTGGGCTCAGCAAGACGGACGCCTTGGATTGGAAAGCAAATGCAAAACATTGAAAGGACAGTGTGTTTGTTATGAAATGGATTGCAGTCCTACACGTTTGTGTCGACCGCAAGTGAATCGGGCTATTGGAGCTGTGCCACCACTCATGAAATCCGAGATCTTAGGGATTATCGATACGGAACGAAGCCAGTTAGAGAAGGGATTTACATTCAATGCTCTTCGAAGAAAGTGAACCACAAATCAAGCGAAATTAAACTGAATAAGAAGTCCAATGCTACAAAGACAATCAGTTGACTTCCAAACAACAGCAAGTGACGTGTTCCACGTTTCTAGCGACCTAGCGTTATAACAGTATATCTTAGTACCGCGACAGTAAAATGTATCATTTACAGACGAAGGGACCACGCCTGCTATCATGGGACTCCCACCACCTTATCTACCTGCTTTGGAACCAACTCAGCTTTATGAAGAAAAAGAACGTACGATTCCTTAGACTGCAGAGACTTACAGCAGGCTGGAAACGAGAGTGCACATTAAATCACTGGCAAGTTTTCGTCGTGATTAGTTTACCAAGTACGACATTTTACGTGCCGTTGTTTGCGTGCATTTAACCTTTATATCAAGGTCCATAGCTGTTGATTCGAACGTGAGTTGCTTTTGTTAGCATAGGCTTTGCTGTTGCATGGCGTGGAAACATGACTGTAACAACGGTATTTCATGTGCGCATTCACTGAATCACTGTGAAATGGAAAAAATGCCGCAAAAAGAAGGGATATATTTAGCGCTATTTGCCTTTATTTCTTATCAGATACGAGGCACTCTGACATTTCAGACAGTGGTTGTTGACCGCTTTCTCAGGATAGTGCACGATCTTAATCTGGCGGGCCGTGTTTTAAGCGAGCATCAACGATCACTAACGCGGCAATCGATCATCATCAGTTTAGGCCGATCTGCGATGGCGCGCAGATCGGGGCTTCGATGGTGCTGGCAGGATGCCCAGCATGGCAGTGTTCCAAACAAAAATAAATACCTTGGAGCTGTATCATCGCTTCAAGGCATGCTTGTGGAGTGAGCTGCTTTGAACTGATATCGCATGATAATTTTTGGGTTTTCATGCGCCCTCCGCCGCGATGCAGACTCTCAAGACGCAAGACGAATGATGCTCGGAATCAGGTGGTGAACTAAACACAGCAGAATCTATCAAGGACACACTGAGGCGAAAACTAGCAGAACTTGATAATGGACAACAGATTAAGGTAATCTGAAGAAGCATGGAAACATGATCGCTCGTGATGTTCAGCAGCGAGTGCCAGGTGGACTCTGAAGCGCGCGCTGGGTGTGCTCCTGTCACCGGCCGGTGTTCCGCGGACGGCGCCCCTCACCAGTGACTCACCGGCCTCATGATGACACGAGCGGCAGGCGGCGTCTCGTCGTCGGGCTGGGGTCGGGCGGGCAGTGTCGGCGCCGCCGGGGCGGACGGTGGTCCGCGGTGCGGCGGTGCCTCCGGGCCGACCCCGGGGCGGCCCCCTCACGGACACCGACCCCGCCAGCGGGGGGTCCGGCCCGGCACGGCGCCGCTCGGAGCGCTGATTGGGGACGGGTGCCAACACGCGCCGCTGGGCGGGCGGTGGCAGCGATGCGGCGATGGCATTCAGCCGGGGTGCTGAAGGAGGGCCAGACTATGTCACGAGTTCTTTGGAACACGGTGTAGATGTCCGTGACGGGCAGGCCCTCCGCATCTGCCGAGTGCTTAACCGAGGACGGGATGTTTGAACCGCACCGTAATCATGATGCGCATGCAAAGCACTCGATCAATTAGCAATACGTTAGATCCGATTTGAACCGTAAGCCAGTGATGCGTCTAAGGGTGCATGGAGAACAATCCACCAAGTGCGACGCATAATGGCGGCGCACTTGGCACTGGCACTTGGCACTCGGCGGCACAAGCAGGGGGAGGTACAAAAGACACGTACCAACTCTTAGGCCTCGAGGGGCCTTTCGAGCGCTTCGGAACTGACAATCAAGGGCCCGAATTGAGAGCCTCAAGGGGCCGAAAGGCTAATAGGAAATTGCGTTGGTCGGCCGCGGCCCGCAGGGCCGGGCTCTCGAGTGCTTGTCGGCGGGCTTTTTGTGCCGATCGGGGCCCCGGAATGATGAGGGTCTCTATGTCGGTCAGACATCATCTGCACTAAACAGCCGCCTTCGTGCCGCCTGGTCCTGAGTGCTCATTTCCCAAGCAGGGACAAGACCGTAACCCGCAATCCACATGGGTCGGGCCCCTCAAGCAATGAGGGGCCCCTGTGTTGGACAGGGGCCAGAGTGCTCACCAGGGTCCTGTGTTTGAAAGAGGCCTCGAGTTGGCCAGTGGCAGTTTTAGAAGGGGCTCCTCGGCTGGTCGGAGGCTGTATGAAGGTCCAGCCGGCAGTGCCCGGCTTTCAAATGTCAGGCAGAGGCCTTTTGTGCCGATCGTAGGCTCTCTGAGTCGATAAGGGCCTCCACGGCGATGAAGCACCTCTAGTACCGAACAGCCAACTCTGTGTCGGTCTGGGCCTAAGAACCATATTCCAAGTAAGGGCAAAGCCCTGGCCCGCGATTTACATTGGTCGGGCCCCTGAAGCAATAAGGGGCGTCTATGTCGGTCAGTGCCCACAGCGCCCAACAAGGGTTACTGTGCCTGCAAGGAGCCCCGAGTTGGGTAGTGAAGTATTTGTTGAACACAGACAGGACCCCGAATGCCAGAGGGCATTCAGCGTTGGTCGGTGTCCTCTGACAATTAAATAAGCTATGCGAACTTACAATGAGAGTTCACTATGAAAAAACAGGAGGGCTTTGTGTCAAACGGGACCCATTACTAAACGCCCCCCCCCCCCCCCGTCGCAGCCAGAGATCTGTTGAGCCAATCTATAGCCTCTTTGCCGTCATTGACCTTCCTTGCGGCGATAGGTTGTCTGCGTTATGGGAGTATTTCCACGCCTATGTGGGGTTTTGAACGAAAATATCCATACTGAAGACCTTTCGGTGATGTTCACAATCCTGCGCTTCCTAAAACCTAAGCTATTCCAGTTTCTGAGCTACACACCCGCGAAAATTGGGAAAGGTATGTTGGGGAGATAAATTCAGAGTCACCTTGGCATCCATGACACCATGATAGCGGCATTCAAATCCTGCCATTCCATTCGCCTCGCGGCTATCAAGGCGGGGTGTTCAAAACTGACGTTTGTGAGGGCCATTTCCAGAAATAGCAACGGCCGTCAATTGGTTCTCACTCCATGTTATGCAAGGCACGATGACAAAATCAAACCATGACGCACTGAACAGCATATTCATTAAACAGCGAACTGTGTTGACAAGAGCAGTCTTTCCCACTTAAAAACTGTACCGATAGTGATTAGTGAGCTTGTGTCATCATATCTGAGACCTGCTTCAATATCTTCAAATGTGAAACATTCCCTTCGAAGTTTCTTTTTCCTTGTGAAGTGTTCCGCGTCGATTCGGGCCAGTTGCTCGAGTCAGAGGACCTTCCACGTCAGGGAGGGAACCAGCGTGCGATGCATCCCTCTAGGGGCATTCGGATGATCAGATTACCCCACCCTGTGTTGCCAGAATGGTAGCCAGTAAGCACCCCGCAGCTGGGATGGAGAGGCCTTCCAGCCACTGGCCGCCTGACCGGGAAGGATAATATGTCCCCTAGTGCTCTACCCACAGGTTTCTTGCCCGGAAAAGGTGAGAAGTCTCTTCAGCCGTCAACACGGTGGACATGAAACAGCTCAAATTAGAAAAGGCTAACCCATATATGTCCGTGCCCGTGTTTGCTTGAGGATATCCATCCTATTACACAATCGATTGGTGAAACAAATCGCATGACATGATTTTGAGGCCACGCGCTCGCAATCTTAGGGGCAAGAATACTGGTTGTCCGGTTGAAATTCCCGTAAAATTGCCAGAATCGACCGCTGAAGCCTAACTAGGTGGCAGGTGCCGGACGCGCGAGAGCGATCGGCCTGGAGTAGTGTTTTCAAAGGACTTCCAAAATCAATTCGAACCGTTCAAAGTTAAGACTGGGGCATAAGTTTTACTTGAATAATGTTTGGATTGCTCTCTGAACAGATTGACGGCTACAGCAACACGAAAAATGAAGATCTTGCCCTTACTTTTTCAGCTATGGTACCAGATTCATGAACGAGTTCGCGGTTCTGAAATGTGAATCCGTTCCCATGATCAATCTCAAGATTGCACCGGTGAAATACACGCTCGCACTGCCTTCTGAACGAACGACTTAATGTTGTAAAGCGTTCAAAGGTACCGTTTTGAGGTATGCCATCGTTCTGGTCCACCCGCTAGCAGCCGCCTAATGCCAGCCGTGATGGCGACGCTGCGCAGCCTATGGAGACTGTGACGGGGGACCTCGGTGTTGTTGCGAGTACGCATTAACTGCACAATTCTGAAAGCAGACTGAAAGCATCTACACGAACATTACTTGGCCATTTTAATACAAACTTTTGTCCCCATTTGGACCCACGAGGTGAGTGCACGGAGCCCGGAATACATCTGTATAGAACCTATAAAAACTCAGCCAAATTTTCTGAGTGCTAACGGTTTAGAAATAGTCCATTGAGCCATTACAAAATAAGAAGCGATTATGGTTTATTCCATATAGAAGTTGAACACATAGTTCCTTTAGTTTTTCACCTCAAAATGCGAACATAATTGCATTTTCCGGTGATTTCTGGTTTCTGTTTAGGTTTAAAAGGTAAAAGCTGATTTGAAACATAGAAAACCGAGCCGCTTCCAAGAAGCCCACACCCGGTGATTTTTTAGGGAGGGCACGCTTTGTCAGTCTCGCACCTTCCCACCTTACCAAGACGCTGGCTGCACCCCAGATCACACTCAGATCAGATCACAGTGGTTCAGATCAATGAAAGAACCACTTACATGGAGCAATAATCCCCTCGACGCCGGCAGCCAGTGGTCCACGCTTACCATTAATGTGCCTTATGAAAACTTGACAGGTTTAAATGGCACCATTGTGAGCTTTAGTTACTTAGTGTGGCATTGTGTACCGACGGGGTGGTTGTTGATGGGAAAACAATCTATCACGCATCACTCATCCGTTTCTCCAGGCAGCTGCTAAGTTAGTGACTGAAGTCATCGTGAAAGTCACCACACTAATTTTAAAAGGTGAGGCCGCTTTCCAGTCAAAACGCCATACGGGTAAGGAGGCTGCGAACTGCGGCTTGTGAAGCTGCGAACATCAAACAACATTTGATAGAGTCGGGTCACGTCGGGTCATGGCGGACCTCTCATTCGAACAAGAAGCACAAGAAGGCACCTTGTGCCCCTCGCATATCGTAAAAGGTGTCTGAGACGTTTTACGACCCGCTCGCGAAACGTAAACGCGCGCACGGCTGAACGTACATGTAAAACAACGGATCCAGTAGGCAAAAACGCAACGCGCAAAGCTAGCCTCATCAGGGTGTGACACGCAGCATGCACCAGCGCTGATTGTAGCGGTATCCCGTCCTGACCCTACCCTAGATCTGCTAAAAGCCACTTATAACTTCCCCGTAATCCACGCTCATGTTAAGATCGACACTAGGGCAACCCTTCCTGCAGAGGCAGCGATAGGATGACCCCACTCGGAAGCCCTCGTGACATCGGATCGCCCTTGAGCGGACACTCCGGCATTTCGCATCCACCAACTCCTGACCGGTGCACCACTCAGCAAGCAAACCAGGGATTGCCATCTGTCCAGGGAGCTGCACGGCGAGTTTTGTGTTAATTTTTATTCACACTAGCTCGTTACATGTTTGCATCCAAATTAGTTTCGTAAGGCGCGGTACTACAGCATTTTGGTTATGAAACACTGTTAACATTCAACGGTTTGATCCGAATCCCCGCTCTACCAGCTGCAGGTGGGATTGACACAGCACGCGCACAATCTTAGCACACCGAGCACAAAACAGCACGCAAAACACGCAACGCTGCAAACAGGGGTGCCTTAAACTCTGAACGCGGCCAGTGCATACTGCTTCCGAGTGTCTCCGGATACGGCAGAGTATGCATAGAGTCGAATGCTACCGAGCTGGGTGTGACATATTTCATTACAAAATTATATTTCCAAAGATGTCACATGCAAAAATAGGGCTAAACATACCGACAGCGATGTTCGGCACCAAATTGTCTCGTGCATTTCCGGGCGAAACCTCAACCAGTTATCAGAATAAAATTCCGGCGGTCAACGGACAGTAACAACGGCCAATACCCGGCCGCACAACACACAGCGCACAAGACCATTGCATGGTTCATTGGCACAACTTCAGCCATTCGTTTGCATATTAGAAGTGATGGCCCTGGCCCCCCTCTCAGGGTTGGCCGCGGGTCTCGTATAACGCGCCGGCTCGCACTACGCTCACACGCACGCGCGGGCGCAGCCGGTCCGGCGGCGGCGCAGGCGTCGCCGCCGCCGCAGAAAGTGCGACCTCGGCCCGGCTCGAGAGCGCCTTCCCCGCTGGATTCGGGCGGCCACGGCGGCGGCGGCGGCGGCGGCGGCGGCGGAGGAGACCGCCGTCGGCCGGCGCCCCGCGCCAACACGTCACAAACGGCGGCCCTTCACAGCCGCCCAGTCATCGTGCATACTTCAGTGCATTGCCTATCAGAGGCGGCAAGGCTCCGACTACGGTTGCATGGGGCGGGCGATTGCATATGTACACGTGGAAGCAGTGCAGGCGCAGGCAGCAAGCAAGCCCGCCCGGCTGGCGGCGATAGTCTCGAACACGACACGCACGGCGGAAACACTCGACCCAAAGGAGGCCCGGCGCACCCGGCTAGGAGCACCTTTGGACTAGATATCTCGCGCAGACTTTACTCTGGCGGACAGATGGCTGCTCGGGCGACAGTTACACCGCCAACAGCAGCGCCGAGCACTTGACGCCGACGTGTACAGCTCTCATCGGATTTACAACTCCGCAGAACCCTCCGGCCCGGCAAGCCACGGGGGCAAGGTCCAAACAAGCGGAGGCTCACCACCAGTCAAGCGCCACATAGCTCGGAGCAGGTGCTGAAGTTCACGCGGGGTTCTCACAGGTGAGCGCGTGATTCCTTACGCTACGTCACGCATCCCATCCGTTAACTGAACACAGTTGAACATCGCTGGTCATTAATGTTACGATGAGTCGTTAATAAATATTACATGTGACGCACGCTTCCCCAAGAAGCCACCGCGAAAGGTCAGGTTGACAAGAAACCAGCCGGACGCCGACGGCGTGTCCCCGAGCGCGAGTCCGTCAGAAAACGCACGGCGACTTCTACCTCCTCACTGGTCTACCGTCACCAAACGCGCTGCATTACGGACTAACACACGGCCACGCCAACTCCTTTTAGTGTTGTGACGGCGGCGCCGGACAGCGGCGGCCCTCGGCAAGCGCAGCAGAGCCACAGGTGGCGACGGGCGCCGCGGCTGACACGGTGCTCCAGGGTCGCCGTGTCAGCCGCGACCCGGCAGTGGTCGGCTGAATACTGTTGGCTGGAGCGGTGGGCGGGGTCCGAGCGGGTCGGCTGGTCTGCGCCGGCCGGCTGACGTCACACTCCGTCCGCCGACAGGTGACGTCACACTCCGCCCGCCGACAGGTGACGTCTCACTCCGTCCGCTCACTTCTCGAACGTCAGCCGGGACACCTTGCGGCTCTTGTCCGCCTTGGGAGGCGCCGGCTGCGCGCCCGCGGAGATGTGGCGCGAGTACAGACTGGAACAGGTCGGGCCCGGTCACCAGCCGGCGGCGCACAGACGCCCCCCCCCCCCCCCACGCATACACACCATGGAACGCTGTACCGTACCGTACAGCGTTGTACTGCACCGTCCCAATCTTTACACCTTCACTGAGAAATTATCAAATTGTAGATCCTTTGATGTTAGTTACGATATAAGAATATCTGTCACCGATCGTGACAGAAGCATTGCTTTCCTTTTTAACCCTATTGCAAGGCCACGCTGCACGCTTGTTGCGTACAACTTAACCAAAGTACAAGTGGTGCGGTTTCTGAACCATCGCAAACACTTTCCGGGGACATATCGATATCCGCAATACTGTTTTCATGTTGAACGCGCAGTTTTTTTGTATCTTTAAGTGCTGGCAAGATTTTGACCCAGAACTAAAACAGCAACAGCAACAGCTGAAAAATCATTTCATTAAAAAATCAAATCATATCAACAGCTGAAAAATCCAAAATCATTACAGCAACAGCTGAAAAATCATAGCACGGTAACGTTATTCAGAGACGTGCAGCCGGCCGGCCGGAACAACCGACGCGAAACTCTGCGGACGAAATGAAACCACACGACCGAAAAGGCACAACGGCCTAATTTCAAGAGCCATTACACGTTGGCCGCTGGCGTCTGGGGGGGGGGGGAGGGGCGACAGCCGGAGAGCCGGGGTGGGGGGGGGGGGGGGGGAGGCGACCAAACCGGACAGCCAGGGTCGGAGGAGAGGAAGGGGGGGGGGGGGGTGGAGACCCCAGCCAGAGAGCCGGGGGCGGGGGCGGCGCGGCCGCTAGGTCGGCCACTCACATCCGGTAGGTGTCACTGCGGATGTAGTCGATCACGTGGTTGACGCCGAGCTCCAGCTGGTCGGCGATCGGCACCACCCACGGATTGTCGTCCATGCGCAGCACACATTTGCTGCCCGACAGGTCCACCAAGCCTGGCCACACGGCAGGTCGGGTCAGGTCAGATCAAGTCACACCAGGGCGGGTGACAGCTATGAGAGACAAACGCCACGCTGCGACCCAATTCATCAATCTCTAACGATTCTAAAATCAATGAACGAAGGTCGCATTATCCTGCAGTCCAAGGCAGGCAGGAGATGGCTTCGAACAACAAAGTAAAATCGAAATCCACAGGAAGGGTCGATGACACCATCGAGTCTTAACAAACTGCGGCAGCACACAAACCAACTGCGTTGCGAGGTTGACCGAATGGGCGTATCCCGATTTCACCACCAGGCGGCCCACAGCCCAAATCAAGCGAGCCGGAGAGGCGGAGCTCCACGCTGAAGACAACAGCCGCGCGGGGTGCAGGCCCGTAGCCGCCGAATGTCGCCGGCGCTGCGCCCATGCACACAGCTCTGAGCACTTACAGCACGCCACCGGCACGGAACTTTGGCAGGTACACCCTTCCTCCTTGACAGTCACCCTTACACACAAACCGACCTCTCACGTCTGGCAGCAGTGCCCGTGCCATTCAGCCAGGCGCTGCCCCAGAGGCGGCCGGCGGCGCGTACCACGCCGCCTGGACGGGGGCCGCTGCGCCGCTCACCGATCTCCGGCGGCAGCACCGTCAGCCGGTTGCCCTGGATGTGCAGCTCGCGCAGGCGCGCCAGCGAGCCCACCTCCTTGGGAATATCCAACAGGTCGTTCTCCCGCAGCACCAACTGGAAGGAGGCGCCGGGATCGAGTGTGAGTGCGCAGCCCGGGAGGCACGCGCCCGTTCCGCACCAGTCAATCCGGCCCATTTGTTGCTGTCATCGGGGAATGTCCAACAGCGCGCGTCGTTCTGGGGTGGCAGGTGACTCCGGTCCAGGCTGTTACAAAAGTGGGCCCGCTGCCTGCAGTTCAGAAGTGGCCGGGTCAGATTTTCGCTAACACTTCCGACAGCAGCGAAATCTTCACTTTTGAAGGTTGACTTTTTGGTGGGGCAGGGGTGGAGGACTGATAAGACCTGAGAGCGAGCGAGAGAGCGAGAGAGAGAGAGAGAGAGAGAGAGAGAGAGAGAGAGAGAGAGAGAGAGAGAGAGAGAGAGAGAGAGAGAGAGAGAGAGAGAGAGAGAGAGAGAGAGAGAGAGAGGAGAGGAAGAGAGAGAGAGAGAGAGAGAGAGAGAGAGAGAGAGAGAGAGAGAGAGAGAGAGAGAGAGGAGAGAGAGAGAGAGAGAGAGAGAGAGAGAGAGAGAGAGAGAGAGAGAGAGAGAGAGAGAGGAGAGAGAGAGAGAGAGAGGAGAGAGAGAGAGAGAGAGAGAGAGAGAGAGAGAGAGAGAGGAGAGGAGAGAGAGAGAGAGAGGAGAGAGAGAGAGAGAGAGAGAGAGAGAGAGAGAGAGAGAGAGAGAGAGAGAGGCGAGAGAGAGACGAGAGAGAGAGAGAGAGAGAGAGAGAGAGAGAGAGAGAGAGAGAGAGAGAGAGAGAGAGAGAGAGGAGAGAGAGAGAGAGAGAGAGAGAGAGAGAGGAGAAGAGAGAGAGAGAGAGAGAGAGAGAGAGAAGAGAGAGAGAGGAGAGAAGAGAGAGAGAGAGAGAGAGAGAGAGAGAGAGAGAGAGAGAGAGAGAGAGAGAGAGAAGAGAGAGAGAGAGAGAGAGAGAGAGAGAGAGAGAGAGAGAGAGAGAGAGAGAGAGAGAAGAGAGAGAGAGAGAGAGACGCAGAGAGAGAGAGAGAGAGAGAGAGAGAGGAAGAGAGAGAGAGAGAGAGAAGAGAGAGAGAGAGAGAGAGAGAGAGAGAGAGAGAAGAGAGAGAGAGAGAGAGAGAGAGAGAGAAGAGGAGAGAGAGAGATAGAGAGCCAACTGCCCCACAGCGCAAGCTCACTATGCAGGTCACACGCCACCGTCGACACCGCTGTCCCCAAATGGGGTGCTGTCACGTCCCCTGCAGTCAACACTGGCGCCAGTCATGGTGACGCCTGCACTCACGATCTGCAGGTTCTTCAGCATCTTCACGTCGGGGGGCAGGTACTCGAGGTCGTTGTCACCCAAATAGAGCGCACGCAGGCTCTCTGGGGGCAGGCAATCACGGCGTTAGGTCTTCCAGCATTGGCGGAGTGGTGCCAAGCTGGAATTCAATGGAATGTATGCAAGGACGCAGCGAAGCACCACTGAAAAAAAACGAGTTTTGTTCGTTTTGTCAGCGCCGGTCACTGCGCGCTGGGTTTATCTCGCCGTGAGCCTGGTCAGCAGACAACAAGCATAGGTGTCCACAAAATGTCGGCAGGTATGGCAGGCATTTGGTTACAGAGGATAGTGAAGGTCCCAACATTCCAACCTTCGTTCATAAATGTTCGGTGGTCGGCGATCGCAATGTCGTTGCAACAGCCAACGGCAACACACTAAAGCTTGCTTACAGTTCACCCATCCATGGCGTGCCATCATCCGGTGCTGACAACAGTAAATTCCACTCACACATATTAGCTTGATGCACGTAATACGCCATCAATGCACTACAAAATGCTGCTCTGAACCGTACGCCGCTCACCAATCATGAAGAAGTTGCACTGGCAGCCCGTTCTCAGTGAGGGTTGTTTGTAGGTGAGATTCCAGGACCTCCAGCATCGGAACGCTCCGAATCCACGCGGGCAACGAGTCCCACTTTGTTCATGCTGAGAACAACCAGCCATGCTCAGCCCGACAAACCAGCTGGGAGTATAGGAACAGAGCCAGAAATTTAAATATATCATTGTACAGCAGGGTGCTACACGGATCAGTATCTGTGATTGATAACTTATACATGTCAAAATCGTCGCACAAGACAAGCCCAAACACATGATACCCTGCACACCCACATCTCCACTTTAACTGATATGGTGGCAGCAGCAAGGCAGACAGACCCTAGTTGAGGATGCGCAGCTTAGGCAGAGACGAGATTGAAGTGGGCAGCTCCTCGATGTGATTGTTGACAGGTTGAGGATCTCCAGGTTTTCCAGGTCGGCCAGGCTGGGTGGGAATCAGACTGATCCGGTTGTGACTGAGGCTCAGTCGCGTCAGATTTGTCATGCGCACTGGAAACAAATGTGGTTCTGGTACAAATTCTGCGGTCATCACTACAATTAGCTTCAGGTAACATTAAAAAACTGTGGCAGTGTGGCTGGCAGCCGTGGTCTGAAGCAAGGCAATGCAGAACACCACCAGACAAGAGCTTTTGAGCCTAAATTAATCACATGTACAGTTGTAATTGGGACATTACACAAAAACACTGAAAACTCAATGATACCAGGTACTCCCTGAGGCTGCAAAATAGTACAGATTTGTGTCCATAAGATTGATCTTGAGGTGGTCACCTAGCTTAGGTGCAGCATTCAGAATTTACACCCAAGATGTCATGTGCATCCATGATCAAAAGGGATGTTACACAATACAGACCACAGATGTACATCATACATAGTCTGCTTATACTCACACAATTTGGGATTTGTTCCAAAGACTCAATTTCATATCCACCAAGTCCAGCTCTGGGTTCCAGACTCCCGAGCTTCCTCCACTGCCTTTTTTACCTTTGACATCTTGATATCTGAAACATCAACTCTGAATGTTAGCCATGGGGACACCCTCCAGCAAGTCCTAACCCCACAATCCAATCAAGAAATTCTGGGCCAAAGGCAGAATTTTGCTGCAAAGGTATAATGTGCCCAATGTTTGGTACTGCCTGTCCTTACCTCTGGCATCATCTGGCCTTTAGTGTGGCTGCCGCAAACCATATGTCATCACAATCATGGGAATTCTTAACCTCTTCCATTGCTCTCTCACTTTCAATGAACGGCATACATCTATCTGTGACAGTGCACCAGCACCGGCATGTTTGAACAATGCCAAAAGCATCCACACATCTCAATGTGATGATCTCACACATCAAATGATGGTCCAGCCACTTACTAACATGATTACACATTAAGGTGAGCTGATTAACAATGGCTTTGCCCAGACAGAATCCCAATTGTCACATCACTAAGCAAGCCAATACATTACACAACAGGGATTTACACAGCCTATAAGCTGTCATACAACTTCAAGACAAGAATGCAGACAAAAACAAAGAACTGGTTTACAGGAAATTGTATCACTATACACAGAAAATAAATAATGCAAGCAAATACTTCAACCAATGAAGCTAGATCATTCATGTTATTCCCCATTACATCACTATACATGAAAAAGGAGCATTAAGTAAATGGTTTAGCCACTCAAGCTTGCTTATCCATGTGCTGCCATTGTGCTCACACTAGGTCCAAAATATTTGGCATTGCAGAACAGCCACCTAAAAATTGACTCCATATTGAGGCCGGCAGTGTGCGACGGCCATGGTTGTCCCCATCACTTTGATGGTAGCCACAGCTTCAGGGGATAATGATGTTGTGAAAGTTATTCCAGAACAAGTACTCCAAAGGCATTTTCATAAAAATAATTATAAAATTCAGCACAATTTGGCTTGCCCTGAGTGAAGTGCACACAACTGTATGGTTTGGCAAAATTATTTTGCATAGGTTTACAGCATAGCGGATGGACTTTTTGCAAATTGGAGCAGAGTCACTATACCTGCACAGTAAAGTATAACCTGTGTGGGCCTTACACTTCCTAAAATTGCCTGAATCAACTAAATCTATTATGTGGATCATACAATGTTGATGTATCAAATTCAGGTCGTTCCAGCCATTTTAGGAAGGCTACAACTGTGATACCCAATACTGCAAGGAAATGAAACTAAATTATGTTAATTCAGGCCATTTAGGAAGTGTGAACCTGTACCAGCAACACCCACAATAAGGCTGGGTTGTGTATCTCAGAATTGAAAACTACAGATTACACCGATAAAATAGGTTGCCAAATACAAACAAGCAGTATTTTTTCAATAAAACACATATAGACAAAGTCCTGTGAAGTCTGAGCATCCAGCAAGCATATGTTAGGACATTGGAAGGCCAGGTGTGAACGGCAGTGCATATTAGTCAGCAGCAATGAGGGTTCTCACGCATAATATTTACACGGGGTTATAAGCCATTATTATACGACATACCTAAAAATTCTAACAATTTTCAATCCTTTTGCCACTGCACCTAATACAACCAGCCCAACAATACTCAACCACCGCAAGGCACGACCCTCCAACCTCCACCAGCCCTCGCCCCCACACGATCCACGCCCACGAGCGGATACTCGACGAAATTAGTCCACATTCAGCCCAGATCAGCCCAGCACAGATTTGGCAGCAAAAGTGTAGAGAATTCCCTTTGCGGCTGAACTCTCCTCAGACGCCGAAGGACTCGTGTAAATCGACTCATGGGTATATCTGCTCAGAATAGCTCCTCTGTTTAAATCTACTACGAAGCGGATATACAAAAAATGCCGCTCTTGTGTTAATTTACTCAAATCTGAGCCGATTTACACACAGACGCACTGCCATGTAAATCCACTTGTACGTAGAATCTACGGAACATTGCAAGTGTAGATCTGTGTAGATTTGATCTACACCAGGGTGACCTCACAAGTAGATAAACTCAGGTCTGAGCGGATTCACACAGGAGCACCATTTTGTGCATATACACTCCCGAATGGATTTAAAATCACCAGCTGTTTTGTTTAGACGCACTCATGACATGGTATACAGAGCGGCGCCATTCTGTGTAATTTCACTCGCGAGTGCGGTTTAAGCAGGGAAGATGCTCTATGTAGATGACCGCGTAGCATGATATACGTAGAAGCGCCATTTCATATGATTCGACTCGCGAGTGGACTTCAGGCAGAGATGTTCTGTGCAGATCCATTGATGATGTGGCACACACACATGTGTGAGTCGCATCATGATGTGAACTGCTCAGGAGATGAAGTGTGTTCAGCGGAGCGAACTGGCGAGCAGAACTTTGACTTATGGAAAGTCTCACCCGCGCCCGGTCGGGGAATCGACTTACCCCTACGGTTTTTCGAGCACAATTAAAAGAACCAACACCCCGCAGCGGCACGGAATTTCCACTACTAACTCATTTATCAGTTTGGCCTCCTTTGGGTAACGCTGAAGTTTTGATCTACCTAGATCAATGACATTGGTTACGTCAAAGGCTAAGCATGAAAGACTTGCGCACACCAAGCTTTTTGTGGCTATTTGCCATTGTTCAGACTTGCTAAAGTAATGAACATGATCGGACCTACAGTTTGTACATATCATACTTTTCGAAAAATGTGGACCTGAGGATGAAGTCAATTTGGGTTATTCCACGTAAATAAACGTAAATATGTACCATTTTTGAGCAGTGATGCTACTTCTTGAATGGTGTGTAAAAGGTACTATGAAGTTCCTCACCTATGTTTATTAATAATATATATATAGATATATATATATATATATATATATATATATTATTGCGTATGTATTATGTACCTCACTGCACAAACATCTTTTGATCATAAAGCACATGGCCGGGACCAGATCATGACCTACGTCATAGTACTTTCTGCAAGAACACATCATGAGCTCAAAATAGGCAGTTAACAAGGGAATTGCCACATAATTTTGATAGCCCACTTAAAACATATCGCGGTATCATCTAATGCATGATGAGGGCACAATAAGCCATTTGAGGACATACCACGTCATTCGAGGTCATCCAAGGTCAATGACCTATGTTGGCGTGCAACCACTTCATTATTGTGCTTGCAAAGCTCATGGCACATAATTTCGTCCATTAACGTGTCTGTTCTCAGTTTGCTATACACACATCGCCAAGCGTCAAAGGGACTATGGATAATGTGGGCAACAGCTAGCCGATCTTGAGTACTTGTAGATGTACAATGCACTATTTCTGACCACAAACAAGCATTTTATTAGTCACAGGAAACCGGTTAGAACTCAAAATTTAAAATATGAGTGGTTTATAAATTTGACCCATTTAATCTCAGATGACCTCTATGTCACCCCCATAATGACATTTTTGTGTCTGGAATACCTTTGTTCGGCAAACCGCACATAATGGAATTAAACTTAGATGACCATTTGACAATTTGAAGCTATCTTTGAAGAACATGTTCGATGAAAATTGCATTTAGTTTTAAATTACGATTGCAAATAATGAGGGCACGGATCGTCCAGGACTTGTCCTTCATTGTCAGGGATTTGAAATCGCTCTCACTTGGGGCCAAGTCGTAACCCAAAACTTTACTTTTGCTTAACGTTGTGGGACATACTTTAAAGCTTAAGACACATGCAGGCGTATGTACCGAAAGACCCTGAGGCTTCAAGACAGAAGTTGTACGTGATGTACCAATAGTAGATGATAATTAAAATCCGTCAATAGCTTTTTGGAATAATCAGCTGTTCTTACCACCAATAATCAGATGCGGGTAAATATCATCTTCTCTCTTCTATTATCTGCTCTCGACTGTTCATAAAATCTTCCCCTTGCTGTCACCATTAATGATTTCACACATTATATCTATTTTGCGTATCCTGTCAAAAATATTCGATCAAGTTGTGGGCATAAGCTGTCGTTCCAAAACCTGGCACCCGTGATATTTTAGAGCCGATCACAGTAC